ATTTTCCTCCAGAGGTCACAATAGGTGAACACCCTAGTGCCCCGACACTTGAGTAGACGATCTTTCGAAATCCATACTTGTATAGCTGTTCCAATCCTTTCTCTAATGACATTAACATTGCTTTCAAGTCAACATCAGCAATGTTTTGAAGATTCGCCGCAATATCATTCCCAGCAGAAGATATCACAACCACAAAATCATTGAGATTGAGATTTTTCTTGGAGAGCTGCGCGAGCTGCTTTAGCTGCTCGTTAAACGACACAACGCCCCAGTCCGAGTGAGTGGAGTCAAGTAAGCCACTGCCGTCTGACGCAAAATTAATGCTTGGTGGAAGTTGACTCCCAGCTTTCAAGCTCAGGAATGGTCTTGAAAAGGGCAAACCTATCGCCTTGTTTATCAGATCTGGAATTATAAACCCATCGCTACACCTCCCGGATGGCTTGCTAAACCTCGTCTCCCCATATGGCACAAAATCGCAACGCGAAACTGAATCCTTCACATATTTGTTTGTGCCCACGTCGAAGATTGAATCTCCCATGTAGATAGTCCTGAGTTGAGGAATCGACCTCCCATACACGCACACGCAGAGAGCCAAGATTGCAAAGATCCTCGACCACTTCGTCATCTCGCCAAAACCTTAATATGGCAAAACCTAATGCACAAGCTAATTTATATAGAGTTAGGGAAAAGGAAAAGGTTACTTCATCTAATAAAAGTACCTTTAAATACTTAACGAAAACTAAAATTTTAGCAAACATTGTCTACACGATATCAGACAATAATAAACTGAGGCAAGATGGCAGCATTACACCACAAGCTCATCAAAGTTGAGGATCCCTCCCACTTCACCAGACTAGCCATCCGGTGGAACAACCAACTCGGCCTGTCCTTGGTCACCTTGAACACTATCCCGGCCAGAACCTTACACACGAGCATGGCATGGTGCTTGGAACCCGAGGAGCTGCTGTAGACCTTGACATAGTAGTTTTCCTTGCTGCTGGTTGCCATCGCCCCAAACCGGAGGAATCCATCCACCTTTGCTTTCTTCTTCCTGAATCCGGCCAGGATGATGTTGTCAATTGAGAAGGTTGACTCACTTTGCATTTTTCCCTTGTTTCCAGAGATTTGTGTGGTTTGGGAGTTGGAGGAAGTGCAAAAGGAAGTGAAGTAGCGTGCTAGAGCCCCAGAGGGGAGATGCAGCTGAAGTTGGTGAAGTACAAGTGGTTTTGGAGCCGAGAAGTTCTCAGCGATTATCTCGCATGCAGTGAGGATTTCAGAGATGAAGATTTCAGAAAGGTTCAAGAGCTCAGTGAGAGCTTTCCAAGGAGTCTGAGATCAAGAATATTGGACGTGTGGATCAGAAGATATTTTGAGTTAAAGTTGCAGGCAGCAAAACTCTCAAGTGTTAAAGCTGTAATATTCTGTATGGGAATATTCTGAGTGTATATACAGTAGCCTAGGAATATTCTGGGAGGTTCCAGAGGGGATATCCTGGAATCTTCCCGAAGTTATTTCAGGAGTGTGTGGAAATGGTACGACAACATGAAGTCCCTTGATGTGATTCGCATGCAGATCATGTCACTTGCAATCTGAGAGTGTGCTGGGCAGTAGAGAGACTGAGCATTCAGTCAGAGCAGACTGTGGTGACTCACTGCCCCACCTGCAGTCAAGTGTGGTATCGTCTAATGAGAGAAATCCTCGAAGAACTCCTGAACCTATCTGTTGCTGAGCCGATTGATGTCTAGATGTACCCCTGTTTCAATCAATGAAAGTTCTAGAGAGACGAACCTGTGTGTTTAAGTTGTGTGAGTGAGTGAAGTTGAACTACAAAAGTGGTGCGTTAGCCGGGAGCCAGATTTGGTTGAAGGGGTATCTCGAGCCTGGAGAGCCGAAGTGCCGCCTCGATCTGGCCAACCAGCGATCACCAAGTTAGTGAAAATTCAGTGAAGACGATTTAGACTTGCAGCGGAGACAGCGACAAGAGAGATATTAGAGAAGATTAGTAAACACTCCAGAGAGTTCCCCGGAGAGAAACACGGAGCCTTTACCTGTGGAAACACAGTGGGAAGAGTGGGGAGAGTTCCAGACCTCACCTCCGAATTTGCCAAGTGCAAACCCAAGATCTAGGGGGATGGCAACACCTGCGGCTTCAAGCTGAGAAAAATATTCGAAGTTTGTGAACCTGAATGATCTTAATGCTCACGCTACAGCTTTTGAGGTTGTGAGTGCTGCAAATCAAGAGCACACTGATGCCCTGAGACGACGCTGGTTTCCCATGACACTACTGGGGGCTGCCATTGAATGGTACGCCCAGGCAAATGCAACAGTGCCATTTGCTTCCTGGAATGACATGAAGACTTCTTTCCTAGAAGTCTTCTGCCATGTGGGATTCTGTCAGAAGATAACAGATGAACTCAATGCGATCCAGCTCTTACCAGGGGAGCCACTTCAAGACTATACTTGGAGGTTCAAGAGCCTTCTGCAGCAGAAAGAACCTACTCTGTCTGCTGAAGATCAAGTCCGCTACTATTTGAATGGCCTGCCATACAAGTTAAATTTTCACGTCAAAGTTCAGAGACCAGCAAACCTGAATGAAGCAATTACTCATGCTACAACATGGGAGTAAGCTCGACTTGGAGCTGCAGCCAGGCAACAGATTACCGTTCCTGTTGACTCTAGTGGCTATCTTCCTGGAATACCACCACAACCAACGTTAATCCCAGCTACAAGTCCCAGATTTCAGCCAACTATGATACCTGTAGGCTTTGAGAACCAGTTAGCAAAAGTCAAAGAGGACGTGGGGAAACACTTACAAAGAAGATGGCTGATTTGCAAGTGAATCTAGTTCGGGGTATGGGAGCTCTAGTGAAGCTGATCAATGAGAGAACAGGTGTTTGGTGTATTACATGTGGCAATCAGGGCCACTATCTGATTAAGTGCCAAGATAAGCTTCCACGACCTGCAAAGCTAAAGTGTCAGTATTGCGGGAAGAGTGGACATACACTGGAGAACTGTTATTCAAATCCTGCTCGAGTTTCAACACAGCAGCTCCAAGTTTCCCAATAGATCCCTGTGGTGCCAAGTTACATGGTTCAATCGCAGATGTCTCAAGGGGGGGATACTTACCCAGTGTATGCGGTTGCAGCTCAATCGTCTTCCACTGCGAATCCTCAATCAACACAGCAGCAGTAGGGTGAAGCCTCTGGTTCAAGAGGTAGATTCAGACGCCCAATGGTTTGCTACAATTGCTGGGAGCCAAGTCACATCTCCCCAGATTGTCCATACCTGAGGAGGGGTGAGGGTTACAAGCCTATTTGTGGAGTCTGCCAAACACAAGGGCTGCATGCCCAGGATCAATGCCCACATAAGTTGAAGAAGACAGAGCAAAATTCAAACCAAGGGCGAGGGAAGAAGGTGGTAGACTCCAAGGCAATCTTCATTCAGCCAGAGGATCTGATGGTAGCCACCCCGGAGCTGGAAGTACCAGTGTTAGCTGTGGAAACCAGAGGCCAACTGCAGCAAAGAGGCCGTGGCCTTTATGTGGGTGAGGGTTTTGAGCCGCTTACCTCAAATGATCCAGAGCTGATGGCGCACAAACTAAGGAAGGAGCTAAGAGGTCGCCAAGTTGATGGAAAAGGAGATGGAGCTGTTGAAGTTCCACAGAGATCGAAGCCGCAACGACGCTGCTATAAGTAGGTGCTCAACTTGGAGACTGGCCCCTACGATATTCTGGAGAATCAGCAACCAAGCATCATATTTGCTCGGTCTCCACAGCTGTAAAGGGTCATTGTAAGGCAGTTGTAAATGCAGCATGGCCAATGGTGGATATGGATGCTCCTTGCATCGACACAGAGATTAGTGGAGTGAAGCTGCGGGGCTGTGTGATTGATGGAGGCTCTGCAGTGAATGTGATGCCTGAACACATTGTGCAGAAGCTCAACCTTGAGGCACCTGTACCTGTGCATTTCCGGGTACGGATGGCAAATAATTCAAGCAAGCCACTTTGTGTGATCAAGGGAGTGAAGACAGAGATCGTAGGCTTCTAGTTCTTTATAGACTTTGTGGTGCTGTGGATGGAGGATTCAGAAGCAGACTACCCCGTGTTACTGGGCCGGCCTTGGCTAAAGCAGTCCCGAGCTGAACAGAACTGGCTGACAGGAATGCTGGTCATTGGAGATGGGAACAATACGCAGCAGGTACGAGTGGTGATGCAGAGGAAGCCAGCCTTGACTCCGGTGGCTCTTGAGCCAGTTGATGCTATGGACAACAGCAGTGATACAACTTCCAGTACAGGGTGCAAGAGGAAGTGATTCAGTTGGAAGTGAAGATGGAACCCAATTAGAGGCTGAGAGTTTTGTGGAGGTTGCGGAACTCAAATGCTCAAGCTACGATGATCTAATGCTGTCACCTTTTGAGGAGGGCACGGCGAGCGAATGCCTCCAGCATTGGCTGTGGGGTGGGGAAGTTACTTGTGGAATGGTGAAGGTCGAACAAATGCCCGACGAGGATAAGATGGAGCAATTTCCAGAGCATTTTCATCATGTGGAGCAGCTGGAGGAACCTGTGAGAGTGTTAGATGCTCTGGCTATTTGCTCTGATGGAACTGGAACCAGCAAATTCGTGGGACGACCTGAGCTGCGAGACTTGGAGCTGGAACCAGGAAAGTCAGTCCGGATTACAGTGGATACTGGGCCGGAGCTGCAAGAGCGACTCCTGCTCCTATTCCACGAGTTCATTGATGTGTTTGCCTGGAGTTACCAGGATATGAGAGGTGTCGACCCCAAGCTGGTACAACACCGCATTGTGTTGATGGAGGGAGCGAGACCAGTGAGGCAGCGACCTTATCGGATTTTCGAGCAGTGAGGGAAGAGATTGATAAGCTCTTGAAGGCTGGCTTCATCTACGAGGTGGAGATCAGTGAATGACTCTCCCCCATTGTTGTCGTTCCCAAGAAGAACAGGCAGCTCTGGGTGTGTGTAGACTATCGAAAGTTGAATGACATGACGAAGAAGGATGGATTCCTGCTGCCATTTACAGATACGGTGCTGGACACGGTTGCTGGCCACGAATTCTACTCGTTCCTGGATGGATATAGTTGCTACAATCAGATCCAAATCGCTTCAGAGGATCAGCTCAAGACGGCATTTGTTACTGAGTGCTTTGCTTATCGGGTGATGCCGTTGGGCTTTGCAACGCTCCAACTACCTTTCAGCGTGTTGTTACAGCAGCCTTTCAGCCGTACATGAGGGAATTTATGGAAGTTTTCTTGATGACTTCAGCGTATTTGGGAGCTCGGACCAGCACAAGGATCTGTTGAGGAGCTGTTTTCTGAAGTGTAGAAGCTTTGGCATTTCCTTGAACCCGCACAAGTGCCAGTTTGCTATAACGCATGGACTCCTACTGGGCCGGATTGTGAGCAGAGATGGCTTAGCTGCTTTTCCTTAACCCGCACAAGATCTGCAAAGACGGCTGGTTAGAAGTGAAAAGGAAAAGAGACAAGCCATACTTCCGCCGAATACATCGCTTCAGTGGCTGAAGCAATATTTGTGTAACCTTCCGACGAATCTTTTCCCCTGTCTAAGTGAAACACTACGTCATGGGAGAAAGATTGCTCCAGGTCGTGGTCGCGCTCTCTCCTTGAGCTGCAACCAAGAAATAAACGCTCTTTTACCGCTTAGCCACAAGAAATCTCGACAACTCACCTCTTCAAGCTTGTGTGTAACGTAGTAGCAAGGGAGCACGAAAGACAGTACTTTCGGGCCACCGTAACGTTGCTGGTTGGAGCGACCTCGCTGGCGCAGTCGGCAGCGATGAAGAGGTGCATGAAAACCTCCGGGACGGGAACCCGGAGGACGTGGGCGATTGCCACAGTCCAGATGTTCCACTTGAGCTCCGACACATTTGACTCATCCATATCGTAGAACCACGACGCTGGTGAATAATCCAGCTCCAGCCCAAAGCGCTGGAATGCGCCTGCCACCACTCTCAGCAATCTAGTTCCTATGCTGCTTTGGAACCGATTGGCCACGATCAGACCATATATATTTCACACTCAGAATGCAAACATATTATTTTGGTTAAATTGCTTAACTATTTGCATTCAAGAACTTCTTGAACAGCCCAGTCCGTCCCAAGTCGACGCATTTCTGGGGCCCCGTTGCGAACTGGGGATTCGTCGTTGTGAGAAATTCTTGTACGAAATTCTAATCGATGTTCTTGTGGATTTCTTGCTTGCAGGGGCTTGTGGATCTCAACAGATGTCGGGCAACATGACAAGTGGTAAATTCTCTTGCATTTGAAACTATGGTTGTAATGTTTGTTCTTGAAATGTGGTCCTTTTCTTTTATTCTCCTTACAGTACTCGCTCTTGTTTATGAGATTCGCGTGGATGGTCCAGCCTCGGATTTATCTGCTCTTCTTGTGCCATGCCGCAAACGAGCTCTATCACTTGGCGAGCCACCAGTTAAGTTTCTCGCTTGGTTTCTCGCTGGTTCATCTAAGGCTCTGGCTGAGATTAAAGTTTCATGTACTTTATCATTCTAAAGTTTGGTCTTGTAGATTCTTCGATCTTTCACTCTTGAATGCTAGAAATTTCTAGCCTCTCATCTTCATCGGAAGTTGGATCTACTTTGCAAACTCTTTTTTGTTTTCTGGATCTCTTGAAGGTCAAGTAAGGATGTTTATCCAACTAAGTTTGCTCGCGCCAGTAATGGAGATTCGCCTTATCACTGTCCACGTCACTCGTGTGTCTGATACTGGGGCAGGAGACACCCACGTCTTTCTTTCACGAGCACTCGTCTTTTAGATGGCCAAGCTAAGTACCAAAGATATGGTTTTGTGATTATATCTCCCAGAACAAAGGAGGAACTCATTCAGGGTTTGATGCAGTGAGCAAAGTATGGCTCTCGCAAGGGGAGCCCTTACGCGTTGTGTCGGTGACTCCAATTTGAGGTTGAGAGCGCCGACTGTGAGTCCAGCGATTAGATTGGTCGGTGGTGCTCTCCAAGTTCCAAAGTGTGGATTTCCATGTCTCCAAAGGTTTGGTTTTTTTCCTTTCTTTTCCTTGGTTTCTCCTTATACATTTCCTGTAGGCGCCAAGCTTCTCATGTAACGCATTTTACGCACGAGTTTGGACAGAACCATGTCCAAGTCGTGGAAGGCGAATCCCCGCAGCCGGATGAATCACTGTCAGATGGTTTGCTATCAGAGCTTCAGGTGAATTATACTATAGCTTGCGAGACAAATCTAATGCTTTGGAATGCAGGTACAAACACTAGAAGAACAGGCGCGAATCTCTGCAACACCTGCTCATCCAGAGAGCTTGTTTGGTAAGCAACTCCTCCAAAATTTTGGAGTTTCTTGTTCCTGGTTTGGCTCGTGGCTTTTCCTCTCGCTTTAACTCTGGACCTGGGTGCCTCCTCTTGTTGGCCCCCAGCCATGTATGCAACTTATGTTGCTGCGTGCTTCATGGAGCGAGTATGGCGATTTGGACTGCCTGCTGTGATTTCTCTCCTATCCGATACGTTGTTGCCTGTGGCAATGCTCAGCTTTGTTGGCCAGGTAATCCCAATGCTCATAGTGCTTTTTTTTGGCTCGTTGATTGTTTGCATACCAGCTCTGTATGGGATACACTTTCTTTCCTGCCTACTGGAGCACGCTTGGCACTTTGCTCTTCCTGCGGTTATCGCAATTCTGCACCGCAGCTTCCTCCCCGTGGCTGCGGAGAATTTCGTAAGCCAGGTAGTTTTTATAAGTTTGATCCCACCATGTGTTTTCTTTTCTTTTACGTACAAGCATTGTGTGTTTAAAGCCCGTAAGTTTTCGTCACTTCACTAACGCTACTTTGGACACTGCTTGCAGCTGGTCATCTTCGTCGGTGGCCCTTGCGTAGGAGCGTTCATGGATTCCATGCCAAGGCCTGCATCGTTTAACTTTCTAAGCATTGTTCAGGTATGCACGCGTATTGTGGATTTATTCGTATGAAACCTTCGTATTTGCAGACTTTCTCCATGGTCGTCTCTGCTGCCGTGGTAGTTTTCGCCCTTCGTGGTGGAGCAGCAACAGCGTCCACAACTGGACTTCTCCTGAAACCTTGGTTCATCATTTTGATGACCTTCGGTGCGTTGGAGCGGCTGGCTGGCCTCGCATGCGGCGTTGCTTTCGAAAGGGACTGGGTCGTTCAGGTAATTTCCAGTCTCATTCAAGAAAACTGCTCGATATCTCAATCACGATTTTGCTCGGTTTTGCAGCTCGCAGGATCAAATCGGTCTCTGGCTTTAGCAAATGCAAATGCGATACTGAGAAGAGTTGATCTAGTCTGCGAGGTATAATAATGTTCTCTTTCGTGACTTTTCAATGCTGAAGCTTTCTTGATTTTCAGATAGCTGGTCCGCTTCTGTTTGGAATATTGTTGTCGAGGTATACTCCTGTCAAATGCATTTGCATTGCCGCGGTAGCAATGGTTACATCTCTTCCTCTCCTGGTAAGGTAAAATCTTTGAACTTTTGGTTCTTATCAATGTTATTACAGATATATCTTGTTCATTGTACATATAAGCTTTCGAAAGGGGTACTAGATCGCCCCAAAACGCGTAACTGGACCGAGTCCAAAGGATATCAAGATCAATCATGTAAGGCTGCCTTGAATTTCTACTGCCGTCTAGATAACTAACTGTTGTCTTCTTTTTTTTTCATATTGTCCAGCCGAGGAAGGCTTTCGTGCCATCAAGCGTGGATGGATTCAATACTTGTCACAACCAATTCTTCCAGCAAGTGTCGCTTACGTTCTCTTATACTTCAATGCGGTCCTTGGGCCTGGAAGCCTCATGACGTCTTTCCTAACGCAGCAAGGTAAAGCTTTACACAAAGTCTCGCTCTCTTAAAAAATTGTTTTGCCTAGGACTGAACCCGTCGATCATTGGAAGCTTTCGCGGGATGTGTGCACTGATGGGTTTCGTCGCCACATTCGTCTCTTCTGCAGTGATAGGAAAGCTCGGGGTGCTCAAAGTAAGTAAGCTCGATTGAGTTTTGCAAACATTGCTTAGATGTTTCCACCTCGCAGGCGGGATTGACTGCTTTGGTATTCCAAGCCGGGCTGCTTGCTCTGGCTGTTGCTGTCTACTGGAGCACTCAAGTGAAACATCAGGCTGCCCTCATCACATTCTTGGTTTTGATAGTAAGCTCTCCTTTTTTCGTGTTTTTTTTTCGCTCTGCTAAAGATTTCTTCTCGGTGTCTGCAGGTAGTTTCAAGGCTGGGCTTCTGGGTCTACGATATGGTGGATGCGCAAGTCTTTCAGACAGCGGTGCCAATCTCGCAGGCCAACCTGGTAGGAACCACGGAGGTATCGCTAGCGAGCCTCGCAGAGCTGGTGATGATGGGAGTGGCCATCGTTGCGAGCGAGGTGAATCATTTTGGTGGCCTCTCGGCGCTGTCGATGGTGGCGGTCGTAGGGGCTGCTGCCATCTACTGGAGATGGCTCGCAAATCCAAGCCCAGAACAGGCTCGATTGTTTCCGGGTAGCAGGGACCAAAATCTAGTTGAAACTTCGCCACAAGTTTGCGACGAAGTGACCATTGAAGCTTATGAAGCTTAAATTCTTTTTTTGCTTTTCTTTTCTTTACTCTCATGTAAGCCGAAAAGAACGAGCTTTTGTTATTCCAGGAGGGATGTGCACCATCGACTGTAAGATTCTGGCAGGGAGGGAGAGAATGCTGGGGTGGAGCTTTCAAGCTTTGCTGCTCTTGAAGCTTGTTTGGATACACTTCTTCAGCCTAGATATATTAAATATGTTTTAAAAAAAAATCTCCAAATCCATGCGATGGAAAGGCTTAACTGCGCAAGTGGCGCAATTTGATTGGGATGTGGGGCTTGTGGTTGCCATCCTAGCGGTGGAGCCACAAGACAATAACCAACGTAAATCATTATCTATTTTCAAGGCTGATTCATGTTTACATTTTACTCGACATTCTACATGGTTATTATGTCCAAAAATTGATAGAACTTCCAGTGTTCTATAACTCCATGGTACACTGTTGTCTAATTTCGTACACAAAAACGCGTACGGAATTAGTCGCGCGCTCTGGCTATTTGTGTGTCCAACAATACAACCAAAATCTTCATAGAGTTATCACTAATCTACATCAAACCATGGATGGAGAGAACTTGTGTTCATGGTGTCCATCTCTGATTGAGCTCTCTCCTTTAGTTCCTTCTCTTGTGAGGTGGCTTTCGGTTTTGTCCCCAAGCCCAACTGTGACTATCCAAGGTTTGTACAGATGTTTGTATGCATGGAGACTTTTCAGATGTGGCATTCGTATCCGTTAGCTCCGCTCCATTCATCCAAGCACAATAACTCCCAGAGGTAGGTGGTGGATTTTGATTGAGCTGTTTCATGAATGCTGCGCATTTGTTGGGCATGGTCACATGCTCAAGGCCCAGATTTCTCAATGGCATGACCATTTGGGGGGGGGAATTAAATCTTTTCTCGTTTGCTTACCAGTATACGTGTGAGGCACGCGTATGGACTGCTCCCTATGTTCGCATATGTATGGACGGGAATCCAGCGGCCCTGAAAGCCATGGTGCGTATGTTTTAATGGGCGCGGCGCCTGCGTGGCCTCATGTCAAAGGCGGTCACGGTAGCCGGCTAGCGTAGTGAAACGAGAGCTCAAAGAACGAACATATCGAGTATAAGAAGAGAACCGCTTCCTTTGGTTTCTCTGGTTCTCGCTCTTTCGGTTTGTTCTGCTCGGTCATGCCTCGCTCCAATCCTGTTCGATCGTCCAGGGCAGCACGGGCACCTGGCATTGCGGCGCCACCGCAACCCAATCGCCGCCGCCCGCCGGCCCATATACTTCGTACCGAGTCCTCGTCGAATGAGTTACTCGCCGTGGAGGTACTTGCGAGGGGATTCCAGCTTTCTCCAGGAGATTTCGCGGCCCCGGATGAAGATCCCAACATCAAGGACACGCGGCGCAGGCGTTCAGCGCGCAAGGGTATGGCCGTCACCTCTATATTCTCTCCTGCTGCCCATGATCCAGCAGCTCCTTCCCTTGCGGCCGCATTCACATTGCCCCCGGTAGCTTCAGCAGGTTCGTTGGCGCCAAGAACAAAGCGACGTCGTCTAGCACCGCCATCACCAGCGATGGTGGGTGGTCAAGATCATCATCCGATGATCGCCGAGAAAAAGAAAGCCACCTCCATGGTCACTCGGGCCGCAACTTCTACGATCAAGACTTCGTCTTGCAGCTCGAGCTCAAAGATCAAAAGGTCTAGTTGTGCGAAGAGGGAGATCACCGCTCGACCATCCAAGAAAGAAGAAACGAGAAAGAAGAGGAAGACGCCGACGTGCGCGAGGAGATACGCTAAAAAGTCGTCCCGCTACGTTGGAGTCTCGTACTACAAGCGAATCGAGCGTTGGGAGACGCATATTTGGTGAGTATGTTCTTCCTTACAATTATTTTTTCAAATGAAAGATCTTCAACAATCATGCTGATTTTTAATTTATCGTGGTGATCAGGGGTACGAGTAAAGGCAAGCAAATATACGTTGGTTCATGCAGCAATGAGGAAGCCGGAGCCAGGTTAATTTGTTTTTCTCCTTCTTCTTAAAGATGTTCACTCACAGGATTTATGAATTATGACCGAGCTTACATCAAGTTCCGTGGCCAAAACTGCCCAAACTTTCCCTACTCGGATTACGTGCACGAGATCCCCCAGGTATGATCATATTAACGTTTCTACTTTGGCAAGATTTAAACACTTGGATTTTCTCTGCGGGGTTTGGGCCCTTCGTTCTTATTAGAACAATCTTTAATTTATAGTAATGAGGTGGCATGCAAATCCAAATAAGCAAATGATCTAGCATCTTTGTGATGTATATCTTGCAATCATCGCATTCCACGACATTACATCTCTGGACAAGCTTGAGTCGAGGACTTTCTAGGATCGCTTCGGCTGATGCATTTCCATACTATTTATGAGTTTGACTTGCGTATTTTCCAAAAGACAAAACCAAAGGTCACTTCACCAGAGAAGGGAGCAAAGGATTGAGCTCTCTCCTTTGTACATACAGCTCAAAAAGTTGTATATAGTCTTATAGATCATATCGTTGTCCAGGAAATCACATTCCTGTTCGAATCGAATAGATTTCACACCAATTCAAGATTGCCTAATTGTATGGTAGAATGCCCGTTGCGGGATACGCCCCCAGCAGCAGATTCCACGAGAATAGACGATCGAATTGAAGGCGGTGCTTTAATACGCCCTCCACACTGCCGTGCTTAAGAGATCCACGACAAAGGTCTCGTCCTTTGCTCTTTTCTCGCTGCTGCTCGAGGAAACTTTGGTGAATGCTCAAGAACTTCTTGAATAAACCAAGGAAACAAACATGTTTTTTTACTTGTCTTACCTTTTAAGTAGGCTTTAAAACAAATTGTATGTATGAGTTCTCTTGTTCTTCCTATTGATTTACATGTTTGAGTGGACTTTTCGATGGAATGCTACCAACGAGTCGGTCCAGCTCTATCACTTGGCCAAGTTTCTCGCTTAGTTTCTCGTTGGTTCCAATGTGCAATTTCATTTTGGAGAGATCTAAAGGCTCTGGCTCATGGAAGACACTGTCCTTTTCTGATGCGGCAAGGTAAGCTTTACGATTCCCTCGGCCCTCTCTCTTCGCTCAGCAGGACGTCGAGAAACTCGGGGTGCTCTTGAAAGTAAGCTCTCCATTGATTTTGCAAAACGCTTGTTTGAATCTTTCGTGCATTGTAGGCGGGATTGACTGCTTTGATGTTCCAAGCGGGGTTGCTTGCTCTGGCAGTCGTGGTCTAATTGATCAGTCAAGTGACGCCCTCATCGCTCTTGTCTCTTGTTTTTTGTTCTTGGCAGACAGCTAGCTAAAGGTAGCATTTTTTCTCTCTCCAGCGGCCAGGCTTCTGGGCATGGTGGACGCACATCCTTCCAGACGGCAGTTCCAATCTCACTGGCCCTCGCAGAGCTGGTGATGATGGGAGTGGCCATCGTTGGGCGCCACCTTCTTGGCTCTGTCTCGTGGAGGCCGGCGGCATCTATTGGCGATTCTTCTCAGGTGAAGTTGAACCTTCGCCACAATTTTTGTAAGGATATCCTACAGTTTTGGAATGTCAAAAACTTCCAATTTGAACGTTCATGAGGAGTGTTTCAAGTTGATAACTTCTGTGCCGGCAAGGGATGACGTTGCTTGGGTTCCATGCATCACTTATACCCCACAGCTCCGCTCGAAAGGCCAGAGCCAGCCTCTCGAATTCTAGAGCTCCCTCCCGCGCAAATGGGGGTTTACGTCTTGAGTACCATCGCCATTGCCATCGCGATCTTTCTCTGGAAGTTGAGCGTTCGCCCAAAGCTTCGGCTGCCCCCGTCTCCATTGGGGATTCCGCTCATCGGACACTTGGCTCATCTCGCTGGGAAGGACGCCCACATCACTCTCCAGAGGCTCTCCAACAAGCTGGGACCGATCCTCTTCTTGAGGCTGGGATGGACCCATGCGATCGTCGTGTCGAGCGCGGAGATGGCGAGGGAGGTTCTCCACACGCAAGACGTGGCGTTTGCTTCCAGGCCCTACATGGTTGCTGGAGAGCATCTGGGCTACAACTTCCGGATCGTGGGGATCGCCCCATACGGCGAGCACTGGAGGAACATGAGGAAGCTGTGCACGCTCCAGCTCTTCACAAGCAAGCGCATGGCTTCTTTTGCGAGCGTGAGGGCCGCCGAGGTCTCGCTTTTGCTGTCCGCAGTGGCTCGCGAGAGCTCGGAGAACGGCGTCGTGGACGTGAGGAAGCTCGTCTCCATCTTCATCTTCAACATCATCACACAGATCCTGATGAGCAAGAGGTTTCTCGGGACCGGCGATTGCGAAGAGTCGAGAGAGTTTAAAGAGATAGTTGCCGGCATCGTTGACGTTACTCTACAGTTCCACATCGCGGACTTTGTGCCCGAGAGACTGCGATGGATCGACTGGACAGTCCCACAGCTCAAGAGGCTGGCCGCGAAGATGGACAAGTTCTTCCAGAGAATAGTTGACGAGCACAAAGCCGCGCGTTTGCAGGCCAACGCGGTGGAAGACTTCACACACATCATGCTCACGAACTACGCAGACGACGAAGAGCTTGTCAAAGCAATGGTGCAAGTAAGCCATGGAAGTCCCCTCTTCTCTCTCTACTGGACTAATCGATTCCATTATCGCAATCGCAGGAAATGCTCAATGGTGGCACCCACACCACCTCCGCGACGATCGAGTGGGCTGTCACGGAGACGATCCGCCACCCAAGAATATTGGAGAAGGCCCAGCAAGAACTCGAGGCAGTCGTGGGTTTGCACCGGCGAGTGGAGGAATCCGATCTGGAGAAGCTCCCATACCTCCAGTGCATCGTCAAGGAGACGCTCCGGCGACACCCTCCAGCCCCGCTGCTCGTCCCTCACATGTCTACACAGGCATGCAAAGTTGGTGGCTATGACGTACCCAAAGGCACCACCGTCTTTGTCAACGCTTACGCAATCGGAATGGACCAAAGCTACTGGGAGAATCCACTCGAGTTTCTCCCGGAGAGATTCGCCGGGACGGCCGTGGACGTCCGGGGGCAGGATTTCGAGCTTCTTCCATTTGGATCTGGGCGGAGGTCGTGCCCCGCCATGACGATGGGTCTCAAGACGGCTCAGCTCGCGGTCTCGAGCTTGTTCCACGCGTTCGACTGGAGCGCAGAAATCCCGAGAGCTGTCAAGGATCTCACGACCGATGAAGGCTTTTGCTCTCCTCTCTGGCCAGAGACCCCACTGCTCAAGGCTGTTGCTACTCCAAAACTCTCCAAAGATGCATACTAGTCGCCTGTGACTTTGCGAGCCTTCGTATGTGCCATCTACAAGAAATAGAAAGTTACCACTTCGACTTGGAACGAGAAAGACAATAAAAATCAAAACTTGATTCACGATATACTCACTTCTTGAAGACCCAGGCTTCTCTCGCGTTCCTCGGTGCAGGCCCGCGAGAGCTCGTCGTGGACGTGAGGAAGCTCGTATCCATCTACATCTTCAACATCATCACACATATCTTGGTGTTTCTCGGGACTGGCGATTGCGAACAGTCGAGAGAGTTCAAAGAGATCGTTGCCGGCATCGTTGACGTTGCTCTCTTCCACATGGCAGACTTCTTGCCAGAGGCTGATCAGAGGCTGATCATGAAGACCACCTCCACGACAAAACAACGATCAACAACAATCGACTGGACAGTCAAGGCTGGCCGCAAAGAAGGACAATATCTTCCAAGCAATAGTTGATGAGCACAAAGCCACGAGTTTGCAAGCCAACTGGAAAACTTCACAGACATCATGCTCACGAACTACACAGACGACGAAGAGCTTGTCAAAGGGGCAAGTAAGCCTTCAGGCCCGATTCTATTCCTGCGATGGCAGGAGCTGCTCAAGAACAAAACTTACTTGTTTAGTCATCAGCTACGTATGGTCATTGACTTCGTTCCTAGCGATCCTGTCACAGACAAGAATGTACTGGATTACATTAGTGAATGGACAAGCAAGAGACACTTACATACTCTTCTTCTGCTCGTACCAGTCGATGAAACGCGCCATTCCAGACTGGAAAGAAGTGAACTTTCCAAGTGCGTAGAGGTGTGAAGGAGGTACATACTCTACCTCCCACGGCGGCGGATTTGCATCCTCAACCTCGACGAGTTTTGCTTTCTTCCCCGAGATTTTCGTCACCACTCGAACTACGTCCTTGAACGATAAAGCTGGCGTTGGAGTGCCGATGTCCACGACGGTAACAGCACCAACGACATGTGTGAAGTCGAGAATCATCTTGATCATAACCGCCACTGCATCGTCGATGTAAATGTAGTTCTGCCTTCCTTTGCGTTGCTGCCACAGCTGGACGTCTTGGCCACTGGTGATATCCTCCACGAATTTGTAGTACGGGTAATCGGTTCGTCCAAACTCTCCGTAGACTGTACTAAATCGCCACTCCACCACAGAAAACGGTAACAGGACAGACTTGGCTGCAGCAAGTAGCTCACCGGATCGAGAAGAAGGGATGTAGAACCGGTTCGGACTGGCGAAGAACGCTGACCTCACAGACCTGTCCGCAGTTGCGGCGTCAAGAATGGTCCCGAGAGTAAGCTGGTTGAGTGGAAGGCACCAAGGATGCTCCTGCTGAGTGAAGTCCACGATAGCATGGGGCCGTGCGAGCTTCACACCGCTGGTGGCGAGAGCCCACTTAGTCACATTCCCATACAGGATGTGCATTCCAGCCCTCTCCAGCAGCTGTGCTCGCTCGTTGCGCTCGGCATCGATTCCTACCACCTCTATCTTTGGCCGAGTGTTGGCCAACAAGCCGAGGGACAATCTGTAGCCCAAGAAACCGCTCGCCCCAATTACGAGCACTCTAAACGGCTTCTCTTCTTCTTTCCTCTCCTGGAGTGTGATCGAAAGCATGGCTATGAGCAGCGCAACCACAGCCAGGCAATAGAGGCTCGTCCTGATGAACTTGATACCTGGCTGCCTTGGGGTGTGTGGGTAGACCGCTGCCGGGCGAGAAAGAAGATTGATCGCCATCGCTCGCATCGCCGCTTCCAATCCGCGCATTGCCGTTGCCATCGCGCGGATTCCCGTGGCCATCGTTCTGCTCCTAAGCCCTAAACCGCGGAACTTTAGGGCTCTTCGATTCCCGCCAATAGCTTTCGAAATTGGTTTAAACACTTTGATTTCAGTTGTGGAGTTATGATCGCAAGAAGCGGTAAATCTCCCATTGCATGTCACCGACGGTGTGGTGACAGCCAGAATCAATCCGAGAACTGAAAAACCAACACAACAACAACAACTATTTCCAAGGACCCACGAAGACCATCCTGTGTGGAGTTAGGGCATAACAAAGAAAAATCTGTCCATGGTATGGTTTCCGGAACATCAAGCAGCGCATTCTATTTTTGTTTTTGCAGACTACCACATTTGTGAACTTAAAGAAATTTACACTACACTATGATAGCTTGGCAAGCTTCCTGGGAAATGCAGCTTCAATGTAAGAGTTATGTCGTATAAAACCCGGTGCCGGCCTTTTCCGGGAGCTCGTGTGGCTACTAAGAGCTTCGAGTCTGGTCCTCGTCGATTAGCTAGCCACGTTTCATAGAACCCGCTACACTAAACCTTTGTGCTTTCCGGATCCACCAATATGTGGAAAAGAAATCAGAACAGATCAAAGTCCAGCATTCTAATCGCACAAAATCAGTAACAATGAAGGTCTTTTATGTCTTCTATTCCTCTCCAACCGGGTGAATCGTTGTGCCCGGCTATCAATAGACAAAAGACTGCGGATTAATATTTCAGTGTGATCAGTTATAATCTAAGAATGTCCATTTTAGTAGCTATTTATATGCCATATTTAGTCCTTTTGTTTCATTAGGGTTTAAAATTATGTCTCCCAACACAGTGTTTCTTTGTGTCTTTGTCCTTGTTTTACTTGGTTGGCTGATCTTCCAGATGAGAAAGAAAAAAGAATATCGGGTTTTGATTGTGGGTGCAAGTGGGTTTCTTGGTAGCCAGCTTGCTTTGGGATTGGAGGCACACAAGCATCCCAATCTACGATTTCTGTTGACGGGCTTGGATGTGGAGCGTTCAGAGAGGACCCCTCTTCTTGAGAGCAAGGGTATTGAAGTGGTTTATGGAAGTGCTACAGATCCAGAGTTGGCCATGGCCGTGATAAGGAGTAAGAAGCCAAACATTGTGGTGGATTTTACACAGCAAGAGCATAGTTGGAATTTGGAGGACAATGAGAGAACTATGAAGTCACTGCTTGATGCGGCATGCAGTGTTCCATCCATGCAAGGTTTCTTTTTTGCAAGCCCCAATCGCTTTTACATCCCTTCAAGCCGTTCTGCGGAGAAGTTAGTTGAATCTTTGGCACCAAAGCTACCATTTCCAGTTGTGGAATGGAGGTTTAGTACAGTTTATGGGAGCTATGGTCGTCCAGATTTTCCCTATTACAAGTTTGTTGATCAGATATTGCATAAGACTGATGTTCCATTATGGGAGCAAAGAAAAGGGCGACAAAACTATATATACATTGATGATGCAGTAGCTGTGATGATCAATAGTATTCTATCAAGTCACAGCATGGGACAAGTGAATTTATATGATATTGGGACGCCATGGCCACCTATTCCATTTAAAGGAGTGATTAAGGTTGTAGAAACGCTTACAAATCTTAAAGCTTGGATTGTTGAAATTGAGGATGAGAATCCAGGCCCTTATGAGATTGCATATGAGCCTCCTACAAATCTATTGCTTCTTAAATCTTACATTTCATTTGAGAAAGGTATGCATTCATTTATAAAATGGTTTCAGGAGAATAAAATGGTTGAAAATGTATGAAAATTTTCTTTTCCACTGTTTGCAATCTAAATTAAACTTATATTATTCAATGGTCCTAGTCTAATTTTGTTGCCAAGGAGCCACACTCATTCAGACGTAATCTAAGAAGTTGGTTTTAACCAAAAATCCTTGGCTAGCTCCCCTTTAAGAGATTTGAGAACATTGTGTCATTTGACACAAACTACTTTACGGTCCCAAAGAATTGTCCTTTTGTAGCTCTTCCATGTGTGTCTTTTGTTGCTTTTCGGAAAAGAGCAAGCTCTAGACTGACAAAGTGACTATGATCTTTCCAATTTTTTCAATGTCAACAATGCTGTTCTTGCCTAGGTTTTTCCAGTCTCCGAGTCTCATTTTCTAGGAGCTTATAGAAGCTAGAAGCTTAGCTTATAGAGCCTTATTTAGGTGAACTATTCTCATGAAGCATTGGTGTTTCATTTTCTCTCCTTATTGCACACAGATGAGAAAAAAGCCTTATTCAGATGAACTATGCTCATGTGAGATCCTGGCCAACATCTTAGTCAACGTTCATCCCAGCAAATCTTCAAATACGAGAAGATTCTATAATTACCCTCCAAAATATATCACAAATTCAGAAGACTCAACCCCTCTGATACTAATGAAACTAACAATATAATTGGAGGCTAGATGTGAAGTAATATGAACCTTTGGTCCAAGAAGCCTACAGGTGATCGTGAGGGGCAATCTATAAATCACTCAACAAGGCTTGCAAGGTGCTCTAGTTTATGTTCAACAAGGGCGTGTACCCAGATAAGGAGATGTTGCAGAGGAATCTGAGGATTCAGTAAAATTCAGTTGAAATTACGCAATGGAAAAATATGTGCCACCTGGAGTGGAATATTTATGCCTATATATGGCAATGTTATATAATTTACAAAGTAAAATTATGTATCATCAAACTAGTGGATCGAGGGATTGCTAATCGGTAAGAATCTTTATTGCATTCTAGCAGCAGATTGGAGCAATCGCGTGGATTGGAGGGGGTTTCTTATCTATGCCGCAGCTCTGGTCTTCCATTCTCGTATCTACAAGAAATGTAGTAGGACTTTTCTTTCTTTTTCGTTTTCTTGGCTGAGATCCTTGAGTGTGTTCCCTGTGTAGTAAAATGGAGGGTTGCATGCTGTCGATTGCGATGTCTCACTTTTTTGTTTTTCTTGCTCGTTCTTTGATGGAATAACTTGAAATGTTTTCAAGGCTGTTCTGGGTGGAACCATTGAAATGCCAACGATCATTCGAGTTGAAGGTAGGCTATACTTTTCAAGGACATGTGGTTTTGCGAGGTCAAGCCTGGTACTCAACCTGGTCTGATACTTGTGACGATTTGAGAGTTTAGTTTCAATCCTCTGTCTTCCACAGGTATCAAAGTCATGCAACGACACGCTAATGGTGATCAATTCGTACACTTCCGTTTACTTGCGAGTGTTCTCTGCGATTCTGTGTTGATCTTTTTTCTCATGATTCTCCAGAATGAGTGATAGGCAGCGGCAGAGATACATTTTTGTCCTCTTGGATCTCTTTTTTTTCTCCAGCTTTTCGTCACGCTTGCTTTGCTTGAGCCAACTTCCACGTCCATTACAAAACTGATATTTACTACGCGCATCAAAAGGTTGCATCCGATAGGAACTTGGAGCTTGACAGTAACGCTAACACAAACTGGGGCATAGTCCACTTACAGACAACTCCATAGAAGTTGAGCCTTCTTCAAAGGTATCCAATCCTCGAGTTTCTTTGCAAGGAATTTTTTTCTTTCTCTTGGAAGTGTGCTAATTTTTTGCTTTTGTTTCAAAGCCTGAAAATCAAGGTAGAGCTTCCTAAGCATGCTGGAACAGTGTTCTGTTTGCAGCCGCTGAGGAGGCTCACGCAAAACCGAGAAGCAGCTTGCAAGTGCTGGCTAACGAGAAAGGTGTGTTTTCTATAGAAAAAATAATTGTCAGTGAGTTCTAAATCTTTGAAGTGGTGTCCAGGCGTATGTGCAGCAACTAGTGAAACCAACTTGATCGACAACAGGCACTCCTTTAAACTCATAGAATAATCTACTTTGGAGGCTCGTCCAGCGAGAGGAAACAACAACAAGACCAATGCTGCAAATTTTGGTCAGTCCAAACTTCTAAACTTCTGAAAGTTCATTTTGCTAGTTGCTTTGGCATTTGACATGGAGTACGCGTAGAGTAGCTCACTAATTTCCAGGGACACATTCAGTGAGCAGCCCATCCAGCAATGCAGCGGTGTAGTGATCTAGCTCGAGCAAGCAGCGTAGCAACTCAGCGGTGCAGCCACAAGCAAGCAGCGATCCAGCTCCATCCAGCAATGCAACAGTGCAGCCACGAGAACGCAGTGATCCAGCTCTAGCGGCCAATCCAGCTCCAGCTGAGATCAGCACTATCCCAGCACATTGCACAATTCCAACGCTTGTAATTGAGTGATAGTCTAGATTTCAACATGGTTATAAATAAAATAAAATAATAATTGAGTTTCTCACAAATATTTCATTTGAAATTCATTGATAATGAATTTCAGTTTTTCTCTAGTGCACTCAACGGCCAGAGTGAGGTGATGTTTAAGCTTGGGGGATGTGTGAGGCCGGCAAGGACTCCAAGTTGAAGAACCCTCGCTCACCCGCCAACGGGAGGAGAAAACGAGACTGCCGGGAGGCTTTGTCCGTGGCGTCTTGGGCATTGTCCAGACGATACACCGAAGGTGGTTTAGCGACTCTTTTTTATTGGAAGAGGTAGCTGTTAATGCTGTACAATCACACAGATTGTGTTTTCTCGACCATCTCTTTGTCTGCCGAGCGGAGATGGTTTCTTAAGGAGGATATAATTCTAGTCGCTTGTTGCAAATCAGAGCTCCACATTTCCAGTCGCTTGTAGCAGCTCTACATTTCTAGTCGGCTTTACATTTCTAGTCGCTTGTAGCAGCTCCACATTTCCAGTCTCTTGGAGCAGCTACATTTCCAGCCACTTGTAGCAAACCACAGCCCTACTGAAGAAAGCTCCATCGACGTGTTTGGAACCAGCCAGCTCTACATCCTGAATTACTGTTTCCTTGGTAAGCTCTTATGACTTCATCAATTCATATTTTTTGTTAGCTCTTGAACCTATACTGTTAGGCACACGATGGGTTTCTTACAGCATGCCTACAAGTCCAGTAAGTCTGGGTATTTTCTAGATGCTTCAATTCAATTGATCTAAAACATTGTCTTGCAGCCCTGTTTGCATCTATGTTGCTTGCCGCATTTGCTATCAACCTCGACTTTACTCTTGAGAGCGTACCCCGACTCTTCATAACATTCAGCAGTTACAAAGGTGATACTACGAAGCTCTTAGTAGTAGTGGATACGGGAAGTAGATTCACATGGGGCAAATCAGAGATGCTGGAGAAAGCATTGCTCTCTACATCATTCTCAGAAGAACAGTGTGACGATTTTGCAGCTGATTGGGAGGAATACAATTTAGACAAGGATAGGATTTGCAAGATTAATGTGACTTATGGAGCTGGCAATACAGGGATAATTGGTTCCATGGCTCAAGGATGGGACATAAGGATTGGGGATGGTGATGGAAATTTGTTATTGCCGTAAGGTTATCTTCTGAAAGCGACTCCATGGGGGAAATTACGTGTTATAGAAGGTGTTTTATCTCACGGATTACACAGATCATCGTTCTTTACTCAGATAACTAAGATGAGCTATATTAAAGCGATGGAAATCTGTAGTATATATAACAGGACAACTAATTCTTTGAACGGAACCATGCGATATAGATCAATGTTACTTGATCCTTCATTTCAAACACTTCCAATCACTAGATTTATCCGGGGAAATCATTGGGGCGTTAGAATGGTGAATATATTCATAGAAGGCCATAAAGTAGAGTGCAACATAGATACTATATTTGATACAGGGAGCTCTTTTTCCAGATTAGGTGGGGATTGTTATCGAGATGCCAAGAACATGTTTATTGCAAAAATTTCTTGGCCAATCTACAAAGCTCCAACAAATTATTTGATTTCCAACAACGATGAAGATTTGCAAAACAACCAACTATGCTATGATTTGCAACAAGAGAACTTTTATCATTGGGCACAAGTGGGAGTACCAATTACTTTGCTGGAGTTTGAAGACTCAGCAATTATGACATTATCACCAACAAGTATCTTCAAATTCTTGGTCCGTGCAGATAAAAGACTTGCATGTTATAGATTACTGAAAACCACACAAGACCAGCAATTTCAAGTATTGGGGAGCTATTCTATGCAACAACAAATAGTATCATACCATTATAAAAATGGTAAGCCCACTGTTGGGTTTAGATCAACAACGAGTTGTTGAAAAGAGTATAATAAATGTTACGCCATTGTAAAGTCTTAACCTTGATCACTGATTTCCACCCTCCCATCTTTCACAAGGAAAGACATGTTCTCGATTGTTTGCGCAAAGAAAACGAGGGCCTCGAACCGCACACGCTTGTCAGCCGGCAAAATCCTGAACATGGTTTCAATGTTTTTGTCTGTCTCAGTACTCATATATTCAACTGCTTCAGCCTGGAATGAAAAAATCAAAACTTGATTCACTGATATACTGGTAAAAGCCCAGGCTTCTCTCGTGTCCTTGGTGCAGGCTTCTTTCTCTGGTTTGGCACAATGTCCATAGGCTTGACCCTGAAAAATGTGACGTTTCGTAAGACAAGACTTAATGGTGCTGAGCCCAGGAGTGTCACAGATGAACTCGGAGGCCTGGGAGCCGAGCTTCATTGTTAGGTGCCAACTTTGACCACGTGGTCAACGTCAGTCAAAAGGAGGCTCAAGGATATATTAAGGCATGTTAGAGTGAGGGATTTAACTTACCCTAGAGCTCATAATGGAGTGGCAGCGCAGTGGAGCTTTTGAGGTAGTTTGGGGGTGGTTAGGTGGTAAGGAACTTCAAGAGGTGGCATAGCATAGTCTATGGTGATTAAATCTTTGTTTTTTTTTCGCCGGATCATACATTGGTATCAAAGGAGTTGGTTGCGATGGCCGACCAAGCTAAATGCTGGAATCCTATTGTCGATGGTGGTGCCGACAATGGTGCCGACGAAGCTACGGAGATTTGGACCATTCAAGATGTGGTTCATGAGCTGCAAGCCCTTAAACAAAATTAGCAAGAGATGCAAGACAAAATGCATGGCATGATAGATACCATGCATGGGTGTGTTGAGGCACTCGAGGCTGGACGGGGTAGCGCTCCAATGTCTTGTTTGGCTAGCCAATGTGAAGAAGTTCTTGGCTGCTAAGGGAACTCTAGATGCAGAAGCTTTAGTGGCTATTCCAATGGTTTTGCGTGATGTGGGTTTTCGATGGTGGAATTGGCTTGAGGAATCTCATGTTGCAGATAAGAAATCACCAATGTCTACCATGGATGAGTTTGAGGCTGCTTTCCATTTATGTTTTGCCCCTTATTACAATGTGGAGAATGCTCGTACAGAACTTTGACATTTCTAGCAAGGGAAAATGACACTTGTGGGCTATATTGAGAAGCTTACTCGCTTGATTAGTCGTGTTCCAACGAAGGATCCAGATCAGAACAAATCCTACTTCATTGACGGCTTACATAGTGAGAGCATGTGGCAACACTTACGTCACTCTTTGATGCGGCTTGTTGACTTGACAATGACAAGCAGAAGTTTTTTGTGAAGAATTGTAGACAGGGTTGTCATCATTGCGGCGAACTTGGATATTACAAGGCTGATTGTCCGCAGTTGAAGAACAAGCAGCAGGATAAAAAGAATGGCCAATCTTCTTCTCACGGTAAGTTAGATATTAAAAAGTTGCAAATTTTACAGCGTGAGGATGACGAGAACGACCATTTTGGTCAGAGGAAGAGACTTTCGATTGTTGCTCGTCAGCTCAACTGTGTGTGGAACAAGATGGAGCTCGAAGATACGCATGAATCAACTTTAATGCTGGAGGGCATGTTCCGTGGCGATCCAGTGTAGATTTTACTGGATAGTAGGAGCGATGACAACTTTGTTTTGGCAAAGTTTGTTGTGGAGTATGGCCTAGTCACACGCGGAATTCTTCCATACATAGTGGAAGGTGTAGCTACCTTTGCTCAGCATTTTGATGTTTGTGTCGAAAGGCTGGAAGTGTTGGTTGGCAAAACCACACTTGTGGAGACTTTTTATTTCATGGATATCCATCGTGTGGATTTCATTCTTGGGATGCCATAGTTGGTGAAGGTGGATCCAGAGATAAAGTGGAGTATTAAGCGTATCTCACTGGAATATGGTGGCGTTAAAGATGTGTGGTTTAGCGAGGGTGTTCAACCACCAATTGTTATGCTCTCTGCTACATCTTTGAAGCGTGCTTGTCGTAATGGAAAAACACTTTCAAGTTACTTGCTGTTTGTTCGTGACTTGGGGGCCCAAGGCATGTGTGGGGAAGAAGCAGCAGTACATGATATACTTGATGAGTTTTTTGATGTTTTTCCATCTGAACTTCCTCATGGGTTGCCTCCGTTACAAGGTGTGGAGCCTGGGATTACATTGGAGCCAGGGACGAGGCCAATTTACCAGCGTCCATTTCAGTTAAGTTATGCGGAGGAGCAAGAAGTTCAACGATAAGTCAAGGAGTTACTTGAGTTTGGATTTATTCAGCCAAGTAAGTCCTTGTTTGATGCTCCGGTCTTGCTTGTGAAAAAGAAGGACGGTTCAATGCGAATATGTATTGACTACTGCACTTTGAACAAGAAGATAGTGAAGCATAAGATGCCGATGCCATGTGTGGATGATATCCTAGACAAGCTTGGTGAAGCACAAGTGTTTTACCAAGATTGATCTGAGGAGTGGATATCATCAGATTGCAATGGATGATGCATCTATCTCCAAGACAGCATTCAACACAAGCTTTAGACATTTTGAGTTTACAGTTATGCTGTTTGGTTTGACAAATGCACCAGCCACATTTACTTAGTTGATGACGGAGGTATTTGGGCATTATCTTCATGAGTTTGTGGAGATCTTCTTGGACGATATTCTTGTTTTTAGCAAGAATATGGAGGAGCATAAGGTGCATTTGCGCAAGGTTCTTTTGTTACTTCGAGATAGCAAGCTTTATGTGAAGAAGAGCAAATGTGAATTTGCAAAGTCGGAGGTGGAATATTTAGGCCATATTGTGACATCTAAGGGTGTCAAGACAGATCCAAGGAAGGTGGCTGTGGTGGAAAACTGACCTACACCGACTATAGTGGCTGAGTTGCGTAATTTTCTTGGTATGGCTAGTTACTACCGATGTTTCTAGCATAAGTTTGCTGAAGTGGTTATTTCTTTGACGCAGTTGTTACGCAAGAATGTGCCATTCGAGTGGAAGCAACCACAAGAGGAGAGTTTTGTGGCGCTGAAACGATTGTTGAGCGAGACTCCAGTGCTTCGCATTGTTAATCCATTGAAACCTTACGAGATGACATGTGATGCAAGTGGTTATGCACTGAAAGGAGTTCTGATGCAAGAGGGACAACCTATTGCATATAAGAGTCGAACTTTGAATTTAACGGAGCAACGCTATTCCACATATGAGCAAGAGTTACTCTCTATTATTCATGCTTTGCAGACGTGGCAATAGTACCTTTATGGTGCAGTGTTTGTGGTGTTGACAAATCACAAACCACTTGTGTATCTTTTCACACAAAAGGATTTGAACATTAGGCAAGCTCGTTAGATGGTTAAACTCATGGAGTTTAGGGAGTTTTCTATTGAGCATCGTTTGGGAAAATCAAATGTGGTGGTAGATGCTTTATCTTGTGTTTGTCATGTGACGACATTACAAATACAATTTTGTCATCATTTGAGTAAAGTGGTCAGCAAGTTTGGGCAGTTGGTTGAGCATGCTCAAGCACAGGATGCTGAGATGGCCTCTTTGCAAGACCAGATGGAAGCCCCTTTCTCATTGGTGGATGAGATTCTTTACTACAATGGCTGTCTCTACTACAATGGCCGTGTATATTTGCCACGGGTGGATGTGTTAATTACTCAAGTTTTATTCCACTATCATGATCATCCAGAGACCGGTCATTTTGGGGGGAAGAAGACGTATGAGTTGATTAAGCGCAACTTTTATTGAAGGAATATGAAAGTTGATATCCTCAAGTATTGTAAATCATGTGAGCTTTGTCAATGGGTTAAAGTGCCACGGGAGAAGCCGGGGGGACTTTTGCAACCTTTACCTATTCCTCAGAGCCATTGGTGTAGTATCTCTATGGACTTCATCACTTGTTTGCTACAAACACAGAGGCAAAAGGAGCAAATATGGGTCATAATGGATCGGTTGACAAAGTATATGTGGTTGTTGGCTCTTCGGAAGACTGTCACTGCCTTAGACTTGGTTGTGATTTACTTGGAGAAGGTTTTTCCTGATTTTGGTTTGCTGGAGGACATCATTATGATTGAGATTCAAAGTTCACCAGTGGATTTTGGAAAAGCTTTGCAAAGGTTATACAAGTGACTTTGAAACTCTCGAGTGGAGATCATTCTTAGATGGATGGGCAAACCAAGCATGTGAATCAGGTGGTGGAGGATATGTTATGTTGTAGCATTGGTCAAAGGCAAGGATAGTGGGATCTATATCTTCTGTTAGTGCAATTTATTTACAACAATAGCCAACATAGTGGAACCAAGTTAAGTTTTTACTTTGCCATGTTTAGAAGACATCCTCAAACAACAGTGGAGTTGGGATTGCATTTGAGTAAGGATGTTCAAGATAAGTTTGATTCTGAGGCGACTGATCTAGCCACAAAACTTGATGAAATTCTGGTGGTGTGTAAATGGAATTTACAAGCAGCTCAGGATAGAGTGGAGAAGTTTGCCAATGAGCATCGCCAATTCTAGGAATATAAGGTGGGTAATCTCGTTTTTGTGCGAGTGATCTTTCTGTCAAGTGAGCAGCGGAACACCTTAGTGTTTTTACGGATAGGGAAGAGTGATCGGTATTTTATGTCAGCCAATTGAAAGGTGTATTATCTTGGAGTGACGGGCCCAATGCCTCTTTAATGTATACGGCTATAGAAGATGGATCAGGAGCTTGAGCAAGGTTCCCTAGAAAGGGTGATCACCAGTACAACTTGTCCTTGGGACAAGGACTTTGTTGAGGGGGAAGGTGCGAACTTTGACCACATGGTCAACATTGGTCAAAGGGAGGCTCAAGGATATATTAAAGCATGTTAGCTTAACCTACCTTGCGCAATGAAGTAGCTCGAGGGTGGTTGGGTGGTGAGGAATTTGAAGAGGTGGCATAGCATAGTCTAGGGTGACTAGATCTTTGTTTTTTTTTCGCCAGATCATAACATTCATCCAATCAATACCACCACCGTCTTTGAATTTATGGATGGCCACTGAGCAAAAGTCTGGACCACCGTTTTGCTGCATGTCCTTCAATGCAAGCCAAAAGATCATGTATAGCTTCTAACGTGAGGAAAGAGGGATGAATCACCAGAACAATGAAAGTTCTTACCTTTGTTATAAAGACTATCCACACGCCCAATGAGCACACTGATCATGGAAAGAGCCGTGGGGCCGCTTTGCAGATGCAGGCGTTGCTGAGGAGCGTTCTCCCTCCAGGAACTCCTGGCATCACCCATGCCCGTATATTCGGATTCTCTAGAATATTGTACTGATTCTTTGAGATATTCGGATTCTGATCCCCCAAATTCCCGCAGAAAAATAACTCCACAACGTCGCCATGCCATCTATTTGAGTATGCTTCCATAATTTCATTGAACGTAGCAGAATCTCCGTTTTCACTCAAAAAATCAAAAGTAATCTTAGTCTTACGCAGATGCCAAAACGGGGCATATTTCCTAGGCATAGAATCAAAAGCTCTCGAGCGCTACGAAAATTTCCATGGCTTATACAAACATCAAGCATCAGCCCCCATGAAACATGTTAACAAAGGTCTTGTCCTTTGCAGGAATTCTTTTAAGTACCAACTCCATTGCGTAAGGATTAAAGCAAATTTGGAGTTACATAATTTCTCTTTCTTTTTCTTTTGGACAAGAGAATTTTCACGACGCACTGCTTGACATCGCGATCCAATGGGGTGGAACAAGTAGTGAAATCTTCCTCAACGTATTTCTGCCGGTCCTGGAAGATGAGCTCGTCCCCCAAATCTGGTATGACGAAGACGAGCTTGTAACACCGCGGCGCCGGCAGGCCCCGCTCGCCGTGCCACCGATCAAACTCCTCGATCGCCTGAGCAACAGCGATGTGATGTACTGGACGCTTGGAGCTCACAGTAAACACGAAGATCGAATCCGGAAGCTATCACAAAAGAAGAACTTTTATCAAGAACAAAATAAAAAGAAAAGAAATAACGAACCTTGAGATGATACGTCCAGGGGAAGAACAGACACTCTTCGTCACAAAACCACCATCGCTTCTCGGCAAGACAAGCTTCTCTTCCAAACCTTCGATGGTCTCGAGAGACTTGCACTGGAAAGCTCCACCCCGGGAGAGAACCTTGAGCGCGAACTTCTCGAAAATCTGCGACGCCAGTCCGTCAAAGAGCGTTCCTCTGCAATTAAAGAAATGTCCAAGGTAGCTCTCCACTCTCCTTCGTCGCCGCAGCTTCTCAAACGCCAGGCTCTGTATGAACACCGATCCAAGGACGAGCTGGAAGTTCTCGCAGGGAAGCTTCAAGCGCCCAAAGCTCCACCGTGGGAGCTTGTAGTGCACATGAATGCCGTCCTCGGCGCTCACGGGGGCCATCTCCCAGTCCGGATCACCCACAGCGCTTGCGGCAGCATCCATCACTCGGCGTCTCAAGCCATCGGTCGACTCATTCTTGCAGAGCACCAGGCTGGGCAGTCCTCCAGCGATCCCAAACCGCGCAGCCAGCTCCTCGTCGCTAAATCCCAGCTCCAGCGCCCGGTTACACGCGAGGAGCTCGCGCAGAGACCACGCCTCGAGGTGGCAGATCTTGCCAAAGTCTTTGGCGAAGTTGTGGTATCCTGCCCGGTTTGGATTCGCGCACTGGAGCGTAGGACCTATGTGACCGACGTTCCTGGATGGTCCATCCACGATCAACCACGCAGTTTCTCCGTCCCAGCCCTGTGGAACGTAGTAGCACGGCCCGGTCCAGACGAGAGGATCCTCGAGAGAGAAGTCGTAGAGAAACCACTTATCGCGATCGTCATCGCCATCGCCACCATCGCGATCGAGGCGGTGGATAACTCGCGTCTTTCGCTGTGCGAGCTTGTAGAGCCAGTACAAGGCGAAGTAGCTCTTCCCAATCCCGGGAGTCCCAACGACATGGAAGCACCGCCAGCGGTCTTGTTCCAGCTCGCGCTCGATCAGCTCCTCCAAGAGGAGATAGTTTGGATGGATCCAAACGGGCGATGGCGCTCCTCGCAGCTCCAAGATCCCATTCTCCAGCTTTGCCGCCGCCAGATCCCTCGCAAACCTGCGCTGGGCGACGTCGTCTTCACGGTGCATGATCATGAGGTAGACGTGCCTCCCTCTTTCCAGGATCCGTGCGTCCGCCCGGGTGTCCTGGATTTCCATCCATCCCTTGCGCTCTAGGGTGCAAACCATGACACTCGGGCGATGGCCCATAATCCTGCCCAGAACGTCGCGCAAAAGCATTCCATCCCTCGCCCGGAACGCTGCCGCGGTGGGATGCGAGATGGTCGCTTCGGGGCTGGGGTAAACACCTAGGCTCGGCGAAACATTGGCATACCACACTAGACACTCGCCATCGTCCATAGCAAGAACTTCTTGAATAAACCCTAAACCCAAGTATTTTCTTCGCCAACTAAGTTTCTCGTAGTTTTCTCGCGATCTTCTGGACAGATTTGCCGCGAAGAGCTCATGAATGGAAGACACGTCTGTTCTAACGCAGCAAGGCTCGGCTCTCTCTCTCTCTCTCTCTCTCTCTCGCTCAGCAGATTGGAAACTTTCGAGGGATGTGTGTTTCGAAATGGATCGAATCGAGGGTCCATTGATTTTGCAAAACGCTTGGTTGAATCTTTCGGGGATGACTGCTTAGCGGGGTGCAGTCGTGGTCTATCTTCTTAGTTTTGAGAGTCTCAAGACGATGGGTAAGCTTGATCTACGCGTTTGGCTGGAAAGATGCATACTAGTCGCCTGTGACTTAGCTTTGCCAAAATGTGAAGTTGCCAAGTTACCAAGTAATCGTCAAAAAGAAATTCTCACAAGGATAAAGAGCGCCGCGATCGAGCCACGGGCACTTACTCTCTCGTGGTTAAGACTTTACAAAATGGCTGTACAGGGTTGACAACTTGGCGTCGTTGATCAGTTACTCTCCAAGCGGAGGCGGCGTGATTTCCTCGGCCGCCTCTGGCTCCCCTCTTCTTCTTCCTGCTCGTCAGCTTGAGATTGGCTGCCTGGGACTGTCTCCCTGGCTCGGTTCCGGGATGTCTTCCGGATCGGCGTCACAGTAGCAGCCGCCGCGGACTCGACTCGGTCCGGCATTAGCTCCTGATTCTCGTCGAGTGATTGATGCATAGTCTGGATGGAAAGGGAAAGCGTCAGCCAAACCAGAAAGAGGAGGGACATAAGTTGTCTGACCACCCAGTCCTGATAATCCAATCGCAGTACAAACTGCGTGTTGACAACGTTACCGCTAGCGCGGTCATCCTTACTGGGTGCGTTCTTGGGGACTGCAGAGAGAGATCATTCAGCAACCAGAAAGTCTGCTGAGAGACATGTACCTATGTGGATAACACCATTGTCACAGCTGATCTCCACCCTCCCGTCTTTCACAAGGAAAGACAACGCGAAGATGTTCTCAATTGTTTGCGCAAAGCTCTTCCTTTTTAAAACGAGCGCCTCGAACCGCACACGCTTATGAGTCCGCAAAATCCTGAACATGGTTTCAATGTTTTTGTCCGTCTCAGTACTCATATTTTCCACTGCTTCAACCTGGAACGGAGAAAGACAAAAGAAATTAAAAAAATTAAAAAAATCAAAACTTGATTCACGAATTCGCTGATATACTCACTTCTTGAGGACGGGTAGAAGGCCCAGGCTTCTCTCGGGTCCTCGGTGCAGGCCTTTTTCTCTGCTTCGGCACAATGTCCATAGGCCCGACCCTTAAAAACGCGACATTTCGTTAAGACGTGATGGTTCAAACAAGGACGAGACTTACATGGTGCTGAGCCCAGGAGCGTCACAGATGAACTCGGAGGCCTCGTAGCCGAGCTTCATCCAATCAATGCCACCGCCGTCTTTGCATTTATGGATGGCCACCGAGCAAAAGTCCGCTGACGTTGGGCCACCGTTTTGTTGCATGCCCTTTGCATATTGAACAACGCAAGCCGAAAGATCGCGTATAGCTTCCAGGTCGGCTATTTGCTCGCGAGGCCTCTCCACTACAAAAAAAGAAAAAAGAAAAAAAATAAAAGAAATAAAACGCGAGGGATAATTCACCAGAAAAGAGATCACAATGAAGGTTCATACCTTTGTTATAGAGACTATCCACGCGCCCAATGAGCACATTAAATTTCTGGGAGTCACGCACAATGTCATCCTTCTCGCCTACGAACAAATGCCCAAGAGGAATAAGTGATCGTAGCGTTTGAAAGAAAAAAAACAATAAAAAAGAAAAGGAAAGAAAGAGAGCGCGCACCTGATATTTCACTTTTGAGATCCCTGTAACACGACCTGATCGATCGTAGCTCCGACGCGGACATTTGGGGGCCAGACCCTCCCTCCTGAGAGGCTTGCGTCGGCGCTGGAGTGCCGAAATCGCCAGCGCTACTCCGCCGTCTGGAGCTCCCCATCCTGCTGGACTCACCTCTCGCCATGGCGCGCCCCGCCCACGAAAGCTTCAACTAGACTCCAGGGCGGCAAGAAATTTTCATGAAAAAAACGCTAGGCTATGGTTCGAATCCTGCCCTAAAAAAAAGCTTAGAAAACTCAGGGGGCTGGGGTTCGAATCTCCCGCGCTCCCAGAAAATTTAAGAAGCTGAAGCTTAGCGCACGGCTAGGATGCTGCCACGTGCCGGGCTAATCCTCTTCTCGCGTACTGCTTCTAAAAGCCGAGTCTCTGGGAATTCCACACTTCAGTCCGTGGTATAATCTCCACCCTGTCCAAGAACCTCTCTAAACTTTGAGCAATCTCTCAGCTTCCATAGCTATAGCAGCCGCTGGAGAGCCATCGACATGAAAACTTCTGTAACGTAGAGGTGCAAATACCATGAGCGAGAAAACCTTGGCTCACCTTTAAGACTTGGTGAATTGGCGGCGGAAAAATAGTAGAGTCTAGCATTTGTGAGTGGTCAAGGCCGGCGGCAAGGAGAAACCAGCCGCGGTTAATCAATCGCTGTCATTATTGTCCACAAGCTACAAGCTTGGCGGTGATTACGCTCCGTAAGGTGACATTTGTGCTCCTTGAAGTGAGACCCCCGCTCCATCTTGCAACTGTTGCATTGAACAGATTAGAGAAGAGTTTCTATGAAAATCAGAAAGAGCAAAAGAAAGAGCTACCTGTTGTTCTTGAGTCCACGTATAAGCTGGCATTTGGGACATTCTATAGTATGGTTCCTTGAGATCAAACTTTCCAGAAGAGCTCTGGATGGTTGCACCTTGGCCAGCCCCGGCTCCCCATGATGTGGCTATACAGGATTTCAGAGGATTCAAGACGTCTTCCAAGCAAACAACTTACTTGACATGCTGAGATTTATTGTATAGCTCTGAGCACTGTGCGCCGACAAATGCAACCGCGTTGTGATTGTCTGTCCGGCCATAACGTACAAAGGTTGAGAGAGCACAAGCCTCAGTTGATACCAATGCGTCGTTGGTGCTCCAGGGGCCGTTGTCAGCCATCTCGGGATAGTACTGCAAATAACGAGAAGATCAAGCATGTTTTAAGAAATTCCTAGAATGCATCCTTACCTTCCATTGAAGAGGACGTCAAACCAGCAGGCTATGCCGTGAACTCTTGCAGCCATTGTTGCTGTAAAGGTTAAAGGAATGACAATGTCGTACAAATCTTCTTCCTAACAAGCTGCAGTCAGATGCATTGCCACAATTTCCAGTACAAACCCGATATTCATACCTTCATGGAAGTCAGATCAAGAGAATGCATGGCTGGAGGCGCAACGAGAAGTCGTGGATCAAATGCATCAACTACGGGCTGCACATACTATTTAGACCACAGCAACAATGAAGAACTGAATGGTGGTACCTGAGAAAAATAGCCTTGAAATGCGGCATTATGCAAAGGGGTCAGGTCTACACCGTAGTAGCTCTGTTGTTGCCAAAACAGTGCCTGTCGATACACCAGGATGCAATTTAGAAGACTATCCTCAAGATAAGTGTACCTTATTAGCAATCTCGACGAAAAGGTATTCATCGCTGAAGGGAGCCATGTGGATTCTGAGAATACACGTATGCCACTGAGAGCAAGTATTGAGGGACAAAAAACTCACCTCCCAAGACCAGGAAACATTTTCCCGCCAGGGACCAAAAACCGGTCTCTAGCGATGATATACGACTCTAGCATTCGCTCGTTTACAAGCAAAGTTCCTGCAATAGCAAAAAAGGGCTGTAAAACACACAAGCACCTCCAAGAGCTCACCCATGGGCTCGGAAATAAGAACATCTGCTTTTTCCGGAAGTTCGACATCTTCCACTTTACCGTGAATTACCTGGCCACAGTGACATGAGTTTAAGGTTGATAAACCTGCAATGCTTACTGTTATGCGCTGAGATAACACATGGTTGCCAGCAATCAGTTTTCGTGCATAATCTGCCATGGATGAAGCCTCTACTGCGTAGACATGCTTCGCACCAGCCTTCCACCAAAAGACTTAGAAACACAAAAGGAGATTCTCGAGAAGTTAAAGTAACTTACCTGAGCAGCAAACAGAGATAATATGCCACTTCCAGCGCCGACATCAACCACAACTCGGCCCTGAAAGTCCGCACGATTCTCCACCACAGCGGCATAATAAGTGCCTGGTCATAATAAAAAGAGAACCCTGACTTGAAAACCGAATCGCATTGTTTCGCTGAGAAAAGGGAAAACCTGTTCTCACGTAGTCCTGTAACATATTTTGTTGATGGAGGAGTTGTCCATAGTAGTGGAAATACATCTTGGCAGACGACGCTTCGATCTTCTTATCAAACTTACTGGAATCCTTCGCGACTTCTGTAGAGCCATTAGGCAGTTTCATTGCTGCAACAGAGACATCGTCCTTAGTAATGACTTCTGTTTCAAAAGATAGAAAAAAACCTTTATTCGGGCTGTGGATCGCATCAAAAAATGTGTCGCTCGACTCTTCTGACTTGAATTCCGCGGTAAACGTTCTAGGATACACAGCCTACAAAATATCTAGCATCAAAGCACTAGAGGAACCTAATACTCTACCTTGTTTGCTTCATCCTCGACAGTATTCACAATCCAAAGCTGAGTCGATGGGCCTATTCTAAAAATCTACCAGCCAAAAGAAAAAAATCAATAACAAAATTAGATCATGCCGTGAAGGCTTACCTGACAGCGCTGCAAGTAAAATTGCTCCTGGAAAGGAGCTGGAGCTTCATCCCCCTCTGAAAAATGCCCCACAAACTCCACAAACGAGCCGCGCTGATCGCAGCACAGCCTGGCCGTGACATCGATTCCTGATGCTGCCGCCGCATCTCTCCCCGCTCCCGAGACAAATCGAATTCTTATGTCATTGAAGGCCCGCAGCTGCGGCGACGCGAGCATTTGAGCAGCAGCAAAGCGCCGAGCCGCAGCCGCTCCCTGCGCTGAGTGAAACCCTAAAATAGGGCGTAGGGTTTTAAGATAGAATCTCAATAACCTGGCAGAGCATATTCTATTGTAAAGCCTATTAGGATCAACTATATATAACAACATTTTTCTGATGGAGACCAATGGCTAGAGGTAGAGCATGTGGCGTGGAAGATCTTATTTATTTTGTTCTCCGACAAAGTTACAAAAGTTGTGAGTTTTTGCAGTATAATGATCATCTTGTTTTCAATCCAAAGATCTTTGGAGCCTTTAAAAAGTTTATGGATATTGTAATCCTTAAAAGTAACTTGTTCTAACTAATAAAATGTGTATCTAGATGAATTTTTAAGTCTTCTCAATGCACATTACCCCATGTTCTTTTAAGGAGTATAATAATTCTTGTCAATTGCATTAATATGTAAGGCAATACACCATAAAAGTATCTATCCATAAATTTCAATTTTATCATTGTGAAGATGGCTACAATGCCATATATTAATATTATTGTAGTGGGATTTTGATGGCCATCAAATTCGTTTCATATACACATTTTTATATTCCATTTTCATATTCTATACACTTAAATTGGTTGGTGGAGGAGAAGGATAGTTTTGATTGTTCTTAAGGAGTATTTAGATTTGGGATTTTGATTTAGATCTAGTTTTTGAATCATTTAAATCTCCATTTCCTTATAACTTTTTTAATTTCTTCTTTTTTATTTTTTTCCTTTACATTCATCTTCTTGGAAGAGCAATAACTTCCCCCTCTTTTGACTTTGGAATAGTAGTTGGTGCAATTGTTGGATGTTATGTGGTTACAGTCGAACAATTAAAGTTTGAATAGTTGCAAAACAAGTAGTAGGGCAAAAAAAAAAAATGTCAATCTTCTACTAATGGTAAGTTAGATACTAAAAATTTCTCAAAACACTTTATAGACCATATTGATAAAATACTATTAAAATATGATATAGATATTATAAAAAATTTAAGGTTTGTATTCCATTTAATCAGAAGGATGTTGCAGTGTTGATGATACCCCTACAAGAAGTTGCTAAAGAGCCACTTGAGCTTATATACATACAACTCTCTTGCCTAAAGATCCAGATTTTCAAGTGGCTATTGAGCAACTTCTTGTACACAAGCATTATCAACACTACAACATTCTTCTGACTATATAGAATACTATACAAACAAATTTTAAATTTAATGACTTGACATAGATCTACCATTGCTTTGGGTGGTAGACATAAATGTGATCTGTACAGCCTTCTTGTTAAGGTAAAAATCAATGAGGTTAATCTTCTTTTGATGCAATTGTTATGATCTTAAATGTAAAAATGTAAGAGAATTTTCAGATTAGTCTTACATACCCTGTTCAAAGTGAATTGTCACATGCTCTTGACATTGTCCTAGACATCGTCCTCTGAAATGTCGTACGGATTTATATTTCCTTGCTTGTAATCAACACTTTGTTCTACATTGTCACAAGATTTTGTGTCATGAGAATCTATGGTTACCTTGTATGTGTTCTTTGAGATAACTAAGTGGTAGAGTAAAACTCATACATGCTAAGACTATCAATCATCAAATCACATTTCCAATCTAACAATTATAAAAGAAGTTGATAACTATTTTCAAAATTAATGCTGTAGACTGGAGCCCGTTCCAACCCACTGGAGGCCATCAGGAGGATGATGAATAATGGAGTCCGGCAGTGGTCACATTGCTGCTGCTCCACCACGAAGGGCATAACGTTTGCAAATGCAGAATGTCATACAGATTAAGACACAATATGCATGCATAACCTGAACAATTAAACGACACAGGCAGCCTGGAACCTATGCAAGGACCACCAATAAAGATGACGAGCTTCCAGTGGTGTTAGAGATAAAACACTTAGTAAGAAATATGATCCAAAATTCTCTGCAGCCACTGGAATTGCAATAACCGCTGTGCAAAGTGCCATGGAACAATGCACAATAGATACAACATTTTTATCTAACATACAAAGACCTATTCTTCGCTAGAATATAGTACCATATTCATTTGCACCTATAAGGTTGATTTCTAGCACTCAACTGACGTTTTACCTCCAGAATTCAGACAATCAAGCTTGAGAACACCTTGTGGATCAAGCTTTACCAAAGAAGACACGACCCAAACTCTAAGAGCTGGCCTGAATTGCAAGAGCAAGGTCACCACGTCATAGATCCTCACGACCTTGATGACAACCTAACCACCCGGGCATCCATGCGACTCTCATTTGGAGATCGCTCTTGGACGAGAAAATCCGCGTGGTCCTTACATGCCATCCATGTAAGGATGGATGGCTAATCCCCCTGCGCGAACATCACCACGCCGAGCCCTTTTAATTAGTGCAATTTGTTTGACCAGTAGTTGCGTACTGCTTCGTGTCGCAGCAAGTGGTCATGCTGGAGATACAGACGTGATGTAGACCATGCTCAGCTTGTAAGCTCTAGTTTCCATGTAAAGACGCTAAAATTCATCGGCATTAATGCTTATTGGTACAAGAGGTTTTTTGTTCTTCTCAAACTCTTCTTGCATTGCACTTTGCATGGCACAAATTAAGAAGAGAATCAGCTAGCACACAAATAAAGTGCTGACTAACATTGACTATGTCAGCTTTGCCATCGAGTTTATTGTTTTGAGAGAAGAACATGGATGTAAATATCTATACAACATGTATGTAGTTGGACCAAGTGTGATTTACCCAACACTGTTCTCCAGTTTCAAGCTCATAAGCTGATTTACCTCGGCCGCAAACTCAAGAGGCAACTCGTTGAAAACTTCGCGGCAAAAGCCACCGATGATCGTCGCCACTGCCTTCTCCGGCTCGATCCCCCTCTGCTGGAAGTAAAACAGCTGGTCCTCGCCGATCTTGGACGTAGTGGCTTCGTGCTCCACTCGAGCACTCGGGTTCTTGTCCTGGAAGTGACAAGATCAGAAAGAAACCTCGATCAAAACCACGAGAAGCAGAAAGCTAATGGAGCTTTTGCATACCTGCGTGTAAGGATAAGTATTGGCGACGCAGTTGTTCCCGATGAGCATCGAGTCACACTGCGAGAAGCTCCTCGAGTTGTCGGCGGTGGGCTGGATCTGGACGAGGCCCCTGTAGCAGTTCCGGGACTCTCCAGCAGATATCCCCTTGCTCACAATCCGGCTCCTCGAGTTCTTCCCGACGTGGATCATCTTAGTGCCCGTGTCCGCCTGCTGCCTGTTGTTGGTGACGGCCACCGAGTAAAACTCCCCCACCGAATCGTCCCCTCGCAGTATAACGCTCGGGTACTTCCAAGTGATGGCCGACCCGGTCTCGACTTGCGTCCACGAGATCTTCGATTTCTTCCCGGCACACAGCCCCCGCTTCGTCACAAAGTTGTAGATTCCTCCTCGCCCCTGAGCGTCACCCGCGTACCAGTTCTGCACCGTCGAGTACTTTATCTCGGCTCCCTCGGCACAGTAGAGCTCCACAACCGCTGCGTGGAGCTGGTTCTTATCGTAGGACGGGGCAGTGCATCCCTCCAAGTAGCTCACGAAGCTCTTCTCGTCGGCGATGATCAAAGTCCGCTCAAACTGCCCGGTTTCCAGCGCGTTGATGCGGAAGTACGTCGAGATCTCCATCGGGGAGACGGTGTTCTTGGGGATGTAGCAGAAGGATCCATCGCTAAACACGGCAGAGTTTAGAGCGGCATAGTAGTTGTCCGCGACCGGAACCACGCTGCCCAAGTACTTCTTCACGAGCTCCGGGAACCTGTGGACGGCCTCGGAGATGGAGCAGAAGATCACCCCGGCGGCCTCGAGAGTTTTCCTGTGCGTGGTGGCGATGGAGACGGAGTCAAAGACGGCGTCCACGGCGACGTTGGCCAGCCTCTTTTGCTCCGTGAGAGGGATCCCGAGCTTCCGGAACGTCTCCAGGAGCTCCGGATCCACCTCGTCCAAGCTCTGCTTCACCTCCTTCTGCTTTGGGGCGGTGTAGTAGCAGAAGTCCTGGAAGTCGATCTTCGGATAGGTGTTGTCCGACCAGCTTGGCTCTTCCATCTTGAGCCACTGGCGATAGGCGTTGAGGCGGAACTGGAGGAGCCAGTCGGGCTCCTTCTTCTTGGAGGAGATCAAACGGACAGTGCTCTCGTCCAGGCCCTTGGGGATGGACTCGGACGCCACATTGGAGACGAATCCCCACTTGTAATCCCTGTCCAGGAACTGCCGGATCGTCTCATCGCTGCTGCTGCCAGTGCCGCTACTGCTAGGCTTGATTTCCAAAACCTCCGGCGGAGGGATTTCGGCGCGAATCGAGCTGAATCGCCTGCTCTTGCGAGGGATGTCTAGAGATTTTCTTACCTGGTACAGCCTCCCTCCCAGGAAGCCGATCGCCGGCTGCGGCATTCCAATCCATGGCTTGCTCGAGGCGCCCGCCTCGGAGAAGCAATTGAGCTGCGTCATCGTCGGCGCCATTGTTTAGCCCTAGAAATGGGACACGTCATCGTCTTTTAGGGTTCTTGGGCGGCACTATTAGGGTTTCGCTGTCGCGAAACGCGATCGCTAGCTGGGCAGGGTTTGGGAGCGGTCGTCGGAGATGGAGGACGAAGAGTGGAATGAGGAGGAGGAGGAGGAGGAGGGGAATGCGGACTTGACGCTGGGAATTCTGTCCAAGGCTCTGGGAGCTCTGTCCAAGGCGCACAGCCGGCGCGCGGCGGAGCTCTCCAGCTCTCCCTCGGATCCGGCGGAAGATGTGAGCAAAGTAGACGAGTCGAAAGAGATAACCGATCTAACTCCAGACAGGGATGGCGCTCTAGAGATTGTCAAGGAGAAGGGAGTGAAGAGGCGAGACGCCGGCGAAGAGGGGGACGAAGACGATGATCTAGAGAAGCATGGGAAGTCTTCCAAGAGGAACAAGTGTGTGGATTATGGGAAGGGAGAAGTGGAGGAGAAGAGCAATGCCGAGAAGAGATCGAGGAAGAGAAGCAAGGCCAGAAAGCCCAAGGTGAGCGCAAAAGTTTACGATTCACGGAAGATCATCGCCTTTTTCTTTCACGTTTTTTTTTCTTTGTTGAAGGACGATGAGCCAGCAGTTCTAGCAACTGAGACGAAAGAAGTAAATCCTCCGCCAGAGAATCTGGCATTCCGGAAGATCCTGGTAGAGCTTTGGTTTTTTCCGGTTCTTCGGTTTTCTTGCTCACTTAAGCATTCTTTTTCTTTTGTGTGTAGCGTCAACCTCGTTACTTTGATGATCCGGAAGATATCGAGGCGTCGCGAGCGACTTGCTACAACTGTGGCGATCCCGGGCACCTCGCTTTCGAGTGCACGGCTCCAAAGCCATGCTACGTTTGTGGCGACTTTTCTCACGATGGAAGGCACTGCAACCAGGTAAGCTCCTTGGAAGTCCATCGAAACCAAAGCAAAAATCTTCGGGCCGGTCGCAGCAATCGCAATGCTTCAAGTGTGGAAAAACCGGCCACCAAGCGAGAGCGTGCCCCGAGAAAGGCAAGCGAGGACGAGGAGGAGCCAGGCAGGAAGAAGGCGTTTGCTTGCTGTGTGGCAACTCGGGCCATGGATATGGCTCGTGCCGAGGAGATTACGAAGCGTCCGACTTGGAGGTACTCACAGACCTTTGCACTGCTCTTCCGATACGAAGAACAACACGACCTTGCTCGCTGCTGTGCAGGCAATCCAGTGCTACGTCTGTAAAAAATTTGGCCACCTTTGTTGCCTGGACGGCCTGGGAGACGCCCCGAGGCTCGCGTCGTGCTACAACTGCGGTGATACCGGTCACTCTGGCATGGTGAGAACTTTTCTCTTCTCTTCTCCTTGGTAGCTTTGATGCTCTCTATCCAGGCCTGTACGAGGACGAGAGGTAACTCCTTCCCTCCGACGCCCAAGACGCAATCAGCGAAGAGCCAAGCAGCGAAGAGCCAAGCCGCGAAGAACCACAGCACCCCAGGCGCGAAGAACCACGGCACTCCCACTCCGCAAGCGGCACTACCGCCGCCGCCGCCGCCGCGGCCCTCAAAGCAGTGCTTCAGCTGCGGTGAAGAAGGCCATTTCTCGCGCGAGTGCCCGAAAGTAAACGACGGCGCCGCCACCCCGGCTCCCGCCGCCACCCCGGCTCCCGCCGCCACCCCTCGCCGGGGCGAGAAGTGCTACAACTGTGGTGGCGAAGGCCACTTTGCCCGCGAGTGTAGCAATCCCCCCTCGACCCCGTCGTGCTACAAGTGTGGCGAGACCGGTCACGTTGCTCGACAGTGTAGTGCCCAGCCGCAGGTCTGTCGCTTGTATCAAAAGCACTGAGATGGAATTCGTTTTCTCGTTGCTGCTTGTGCAGGCCAAGCGTAACCCGGAGCCGGAGACCAAGCTCCCTCGCTGGATGGAGATCCAAACTAGAGACGATCGGCAGCAGCAGCAGCAACTTAATGGCCTGTTGACGCCGCAGAAGATGTATCACAGAGTCGCCGATCAGGACCAACGTAACAGCAAGAAGCAGAGGGCACTGGCGGAGTTTGCACAGGAGAAGTCGGCCATTCGGCTGCCAAAGTGGTGCGCAGTAGAAAGCGCCGAACAGAGGTGAGCTGCCGTTTTTGTTGATCTCTGCAAATGCAGATCCCCGATTGATTAATTGCACACCTGCTATGATACAAAACCACCAAAATTGCAGTTACCCCTGGTGGTAACTTCCCGCTTACAAATCGCCGCTTTCGATCCTTTCCAGCAAGTCCGTCCTTGTTTTACGCTTCCAGTTGTTCATGGACGCTACCAGGTTGATGAGGTTGATGATTTGTTGCTTGGAGTACTCCTGTAGGAAGAGAGAAACTGTGAGAACTGTATACTGATGGAGGAATGGACTCACCGGATGAGATTTAGCCCAGTACAAGAATTCTGTTTCGGGAAGATAGAATGCCTGACGAGAAAACAACTCGTAAGAATGTCCAAATTGCCAAAAATGAGCAGACCTTTATGTAAGCGTCCACAATCTGGAGGTTTGCTTTCAGTTTCGCGGGAGCAAGATGTTGCAAGCCGTTTATTAGAACCTGCAGCAAGCGTTGCTCAATACTCGCAAGAAACGAAGACAAAATGCCCATGCCTGAAGGTCCAGAGACATGACCGCACGTCCCTCGTTATTACACCTCCTTACTCTCGAAAGGCCTTCCACGAGTGTCTCCGCCAATATATCCACTCCGTATTGCAGGAGAAGTTCATGGACCTGAAACGCCGTCAGATAACATACAAAGTTTGTAATGGCTTTTACCTGTCTGGAGACGCCGGCGTTTGACAAGCGCACAGTATACTGCTTGAATTCGCCAAGAAGTGAATCTACATATCTGCATCCGGAGTTCAGATTAACAACACTTCCCTCGCTCTTTGAGACGTCTTACCCGTTGTGCTCCATGCCAAGCTCTTTAAGCTCCCATCTTGTATTGGATATACGATCGAAATATGATCCTATATTTAGCAAAAGACGAGCACCTGTCTTGTATACGTGCTCTCTCAAGTCTATGGATGCATCGACCTGACAAAAAAGAAACAAATCAGATCCAAAGCAGTTGTTTCAAGTCATTGTACCGTTCTGGCAAAAAACTGGTCTACAAATGGTAGAGCATTTTGATGCAGTAGCGATTGAAGATGCTGACGAGAATTTCTTATAAGCGTGGCAAGAAAAATGAGCGATTCCGCCGCAACCGTACGCTCCTGTCAAGTAAGTATGAATTAGCAACCACCTGTGGCTGCTAAATGAAAAACACCTTAATGGCGAAAAAATTGCTGGGAGAAACCATGCCTGCGCCGAATCCTTGTGACGACATCTCAAAAACTCCAGCATTCATGGGTTGAGGATGCCCAGCAGCATATTTCAACCTTTGCTCTTCCAGCTGCTGAGAGATTCTAACCAACGCTCCTCTGAGACGACCGGAAATTACTGAGAAACAAAAGTACTTTCAGAAACAGACTGAAATGAGTGTTCTTACCAGGAGAGTCAGAAGGCGCTCTCCCACTGAACAAATCACGTTGTCCGAATGTTTTGAAAACAATAAAAAAGTAGAGCTCAAACACTTGGCTAAGGCCCTATTAAGCAACCACAAGATATCAAACCACCCGCCGTATGTAAACTAGTACCTTGAAAACTTCCAGACTGATAGGCTCCAATATTTGCATGAGCCTTGCATATCTATCAATGGACCTATCCAGCAAAAGATAAAAAACAACGTAACAAGATTTTTCAATCAAACAAGCGCCAAACCTGAGCATGTTTATCGACGAGCTGGTTAATGTTATTCGCTCATCATCACCAGCATTGGATTTGGTTTCCAGCCGACCGGGACGTTGACTGTCCTCGTCAATAAAATCCGCCAGAAGATCCTCGTTTTCTTCTTCTTCTTCTTTAGGGGTCACATTGCTCGGCATTTTTCCGTGGGGAGAACCGTCTACTTTTCCCGAGCTCACGTCTGCAATTCTCGACTCAGTAAATGGATTCCCTTTCCTTAACCACTCGGTGAATCCCTGCTGCACCTCCAACTTTTCACCAGGCTTTAGCATCATGGACTCAGACGTGGTTGACGCAACTATCGGTGCACCATTTCCTGTAAGTCCGGCTAGATTTAGTGACTTGAGAAAACCGGAGGGAACCCTTTGCCATGGTTCCTTTTCTAGCATCATACGTAAGACCTGCCGTCGGAAAAACACCTCAGAGCGACGTCAAAACAGTTCGGAAAATTACCTCGAGGTTTTGTCGATGAAAAGCTCCAAAATATTTTTCGCTCTGCTTCACCAGTTTAGCTCGCAAAGGTATGGCTTCGGCACCACTGAAGGCTTCGCCAGCAAGAATAAACTTGTTGAGCAGATCAAGGTTCAGTAAGAAATGATGAGCACTAGCTGCACAGAACGCATCAGAAGACAGAAGTGCAGATACTCTTCGCGCAGCAAGCTCCCAGACAGTCTTCCTCCCCTTTTCTAGCCCTTTCCCAACCGCTCGTGCCACCTCCATCCGCAGCCTGTTTCTAGAATCCAGCATATTTTCAGTTAATGCTGGTCCATTTTGCATCCTTCCACTGACAGAATCGTCTTTTGTTCCTGACTCCAGGGACGAGCTATGACGGTGCGCTGCTTGAACAGGCTGACTCAAGCTTCCTTGGCTACGGCTCCGGTGAAGGGCACCGTTGGATACAGCTGATGTCTAAAAAGTAAAAAATTCTACGTTCAGAAGCATGTAAAATTCAATTCAAACCTGAAGTTTCCAATCGCACGCCATCATTCGGAAATAAGAGCATAGTATATCGTAGAGTAGTTCCAGAGTTTTGAAAAGGCAGGGACGGTAACTAGTGTCTGGCAATCTCAAGCATAGATCATTATATGGTAATCTGAAAAATATCCGAATGTTAAATGACATCTTAGTTCCTGTCTGCTCACCTTCCCCTTCTCTGAGCTGCTTGTAATTCGTCCGTCTGTACAAGGAACATCAAATAAGGCATACATAATGTCGTAGGCAAATAAACCTGAGGTAGATACTCCTTCAGGACCGAATGTGTCCTTGCTACAATGATCTGAGCATAAAAAGTTTGTGTCTTATCAGAGAGTCCTGGAACATCGTCTATCATGGCATATGCGTCAATAACCTGCAATCATAAGCATCAGCGGCGTGAAAAGAGACGAAAAGTTATACCGTCATATATTTTTCAACGTTGAACTGTCTACAAACATCAAGTAGAACTTCATCGACCTTTACAATAGTTTTTTGCAGCCATTCCTGTGAAAATGAAAAACACTTATGCATGAGTTACTACTTGTGCAAGAGCAGTTCTCACCTCGATACTATGATTCATGTCCTGCACAGCTGCAAGCCCCGACATTTCTTCAAGAAGTTGTAAGCACTCTGAGCACATTTGTAGCGCCTTCAAATTCAGAAATTAATCATCAAAGTGCAAATTTGAAGTGGAAACAGCTTACTTTGCCGTAATTGCCTTCCTCAATGGTGCTGTCTAGCCGGGACTTGATGTCTATTGCATGTTGTATTCTTTCTAGAATAGGAAGCATATCCTAGACATTCGGTGTTAATAACATTAGTATTGTGACAACAGAAAATACAGAGAAAACGTACCATTAGAACCTGTTTCTTCCGAACGTTTCCAGCGACTACAAGGTCTTGAGAGACTTCATGCATTGCAAGAGACAAACGCCTGCGACCATTCTAAAATAGATGTTTCTCGGTCAGAAAGATAGTTCAACTATTACGCAACGAGAAGTACCTTACATATGATTTTTGAGACTTGTAGATCTTTCTCCACTTCAGTGACCATTTGCATTCCTTTCACTGCATATAACAGTCAGTAAGAACAGCAACATGATCCTCACTGGCACAGACCCATTTCTTCGTGATGTTCCATAACCTGAATTGAAAGTTTCTCCGTTATATCATCAAGCTGCAACATCCTTTGAGATACCTGAAAGAGTTTCAAGGCAACTATATAGAACGAGCTGTCGAAAGAAAAAGCGGTATTCACTTAACCTTGTTTTCGAAAAACTCTTGAGTTGGTTGCTCGGGTAAGTGCTCCAGAAGATATCTCACCGGATCGAAGTCCTGGAAAATAGATCGAAACGTTCAGTAACACTGATTTGCCAGTGAAGATTTGCTCGCCTTTTCGAAATACTCTTCTTCGAGAGGTTCCGCAATTTCACCTCTCTTCTTCGCACTGTACACCGAGGGCGTCTCTCCAGAGGTTGATGCGATCGAAAGACGATCATGAGGAGGGGTAGCAGCGATGCTCTTGGCAATAGCCGCAGCAGCCGCAGCCCTGGCCGGGATCTGGCAAAGTAGAGTCCACACACGTCGTTCAAAAGATCTGGACGAATTTATCAAACCTCGGGCCTGTCCGAAGAGGAAGACAGTATAAAACTCCGAGCTCGTCCAGCTTTCACAGACTGGAGGAACTTCTCCCCGATATTCTTGAAATCCATGCTTCCCTGTGCGAGGACGATCACATTGTGCTCCCCAATTGTAATGCCAGCGCCTCAGCTGGATTTTCAGCCTAGATCCAGCTCCATGCATCCCTGCCCCTCAAAATATCCCAAAATTTGCTGCTAAAACTCATCTCTGATCGATTTCCCAGCTTCACCGAGGCAGATCCAGCTCCCTGGAATCCATGCGCCGAGATTTACGATCCTGGCGCCATCAATGCAGAACCTAGGGTAAAAGAAGGCATCGCTTCCCGGGGAGATCCACACGACACTGTAGCGCCTAGGGTTGGCAGCCGCCAAAATCCTCGTCCTTCCCGGCGAAAAACGAAAGGTCTCACCTATGCAAGAGGCACCACAGCAATGCCAGGGGAGACCCCGTCACTGGTTCGAATCCCATAAAGCAATAACTAACCGTTTCCCAATAAAATAAAGATTAGGAATATTAAGGAAGGAAAAATATGCTGCCATCTGTCGCAAATCCCATGGTCCACGTAAGCGCAAGAAATAAAAGATCTTTCCATTTATTCGTATTTTAGGGTTCTTGACGCGGAGGAGACGTGTTTGCGTCCCTTGCACAGATCTAGTCGCGACCAGCTGCGCCTTGCCATTGCTGCTGAATTATGGCTGCTGGACTCACAGGCGCCGCCATTCTGGGAAGAATTCCAGGCAGAATCATCCTCACCGATCCAGCGCCGGTGCCTCCTCAACAGTCCTTTCAATCCTGTGAGTTTTGCCATGGGCTCGGGAGGCTCCGATCGACGAGTTCTTTCCCAGGGATTAGCCCTCAGAGGTTCCAGAAAAGGAGAGGAGCTACAGTGACATCGGCAGCAATGGCAATGGCGGCCACGCAAGAGGCGTTCGTGCCCAGCAGGGACAGCCGCCGGGAGCACCTGGAGCAATCCTTTGTGGCGGCGCCGTCCCCAAGGAACCGCGCCGACGATGCCTCGCTCAACAATCCGCTACTCCGGCGCGAGCGCATGGGCTGTGGATGGCTGGGCGTGATCATGGAGTGGGAGGGCGTGGTCGTGGAGGAGGATCTCAGCCTCGATAGAAAGGCCTGGAGGGCCATCGCGGAGGAGGAAGGCAAGAGCCTCCCGCCGGCATTCCTTCTCAAGCGCGCGGCGGGGATGAAGAACGAGCAGGCCATCTCCGAGGTCCTGTGCTGGAGCCGCGATTTCCAGCACATCAAGAGGATGGCCAAGCGCAAGGAGGATCTCTACCAGTACATGCAACGAGGAACTTACCGGCTCCTCCCCGGATCGCGGGACTTCGTCCAGGCGCTCAAGCGATACAAGGTTCCAATCTCCGTGGCGTCGACGAGGCCGCGGAGGATCACCGAGCGGGCGATCGAGGCGGTGGGGATGGAGGGATTCTTCGACGAGGTGGTGGCGGCGGAGGACGTGTACCGCGGCAAGCCGGATCCGGAGATGTTCCTCTACGCGGCGGAGAGGCTGGGATTCATCCCCGAGCGGTGTATAGTGTTTGGGAGCTCCAACTCGAGCGTGGAGGCGGCGCATGACGCGCGGATGAAGTGCGTGGCGGTGGCGGGGACGCATCCGGTGTTTGAGCTCGGGGCGGCGGACTTGGTGGTGAAGAGATTAACGGAGCTGTCGGTGGTGGATTTGAAGAACCTGGCGGATCTGGATGCGCCGGAGTTCCAGGCTCCAGAGCCTCAGCTGGAAGAGAGCCGCGAGGAGGACCGAGATCTGGAAGAGCGACGCTTCATGGCATTGTAACATCACCAAAGATCATCGCTTGATTTGTAAATATACATAGTATAAATTCAATGTAAATATTCCTGACAAAAGGTTCTTCGGAGTTATTCTTCCATTCCATCGCTATGTTCTTCCGAGTTCTCTGGAGTTCTTCTTCCACCTTACTTTCTCTTCCCTTCGATCGCCCACTCACGCCAGGGAAGGAACGAGGAGCCGGAACAAACTCGTGTAGAGCACGGTGAGGAGAGCTCCAACCGGGATCGTCACCACCCACGAAGCGACGATCTCCCGGACTGTCTCGCCGCGGACACTGTTGAGTCCTCTAGCGAATCCAACACCCATGACAGCGCCGACCAGAGTGTGAGTCGCGGAGATTGGGAGTCCCAGCCTCGATGCTCCTACCACGACACTGGCAGCGGCAAACTCCGCCGCGAATCCTCTCGTAGGAGTCAGCTCCGTGATCTTGTTGCCGATGGTCGCGATAACTCTGTATCCCCACACCAGCAGGCCGGCCACGATCCCAAAGCCACCCCACGCAAGCACCTGTGTCGACACCGCCGCGGTCACTGCCTTGGAGCCGTGGAGAATTGCCAGAGCTCCAGAGATCGGGCCGATTGCGTTGGCGACGTCGTTGGCTCCGTGAGCGAACGACATGAAGCACGCTGACAGGACTTGGAGGTAGCCAAAGACGGTGTAGACGATCTGGAGCTGTGTTCCCGTGGGACCTTCAATCCTGTCCGTGAAGCTGATCTTCCGGAGTGACGCTGCCGCTGGTGCTCCACCTGCGGAGCTCTCTTTGACGGGGATATCGCAGAACTCGCCGATGAGACCACCGAGTTGCCGACGAATGATCAAGTTGATGATAACAGCTCCCAAAGCTCCGAGACCAATGGCTTCCGCTGCCATCACGAGAGAGCTGCCGTGGACGGGTAAAGCCGTGACAGAGAAGGCTAAAACTCCCACAAACACAGCGATGGGAGCTGCTCGTGCTGCTGCTACACCCGGATGTGGTGCGCTATACACGAACTAGAAAAAAAAAACAAAAAAAAAAAACAATTAGAACAACGCAAACAAACTAAGTCGAACTCACCGTTCTGATGCACTTGTAGACACCGTAAGAGACCAAGCCTCCCAAAAGCGGCGAGATAATCCACGAGGAGACGACGCGAGCCAGGGACTTCCAGTAAACCGCATTCACGCCACCATAGACGAGTCCAAACCCGACAAGCGAGCCGATGATGCAGTGCGTCGTCGACACCGGCCAGCCACAGTAGGAGGCAACCTGTTTCATATATTTTGGAGTGGAGTGCTCACTAACAGAGAAATGAGAGTAGAAAACGATGAGCAAAACGAGAGAGGAGAACTTACTTGGAGCCAGGAGCCAGCGGCGGCGAGAGATGAGAGCATCCCAGAAAAGAGCAAGCTATCGTTCCCAGCAAACGTCCCGGGCACCAAGATCTTCTGCATGGTTTCGCTTACGTGAGAGCCAACCATAAAAGCCCCGGCGAACTCGAGGATGGAGGCGGTGAGCACGGCCTGGCGGAGAGTGAGAGCGCCGGATCCAACCGAGGTGCCCATGGCGTTGGCGACGTCGTTGGCGCCAATGTTCCAGGCCATGTAGAAGCCACACAGCAGCGTGATGAGGGTGAGAGCTTTGGCCTTCGTCGTGGTGGCGAGGAGGAATGGACGCATGAAGGAGGGAGCGACGAGCGCAGCCACCGAGATGCCCAGAGTGATTGCCGTGGCCGTCCTTGGCGAGATCCCAAACGCCTCGGCCATGCCTTGAAATCCCCCATTCACCGGTTTCTTGAGCGAAATATCCCCCTCCGCGGCTTCGCTGCTGCCGTGGAGCTCCCCCTCCAGCGACGACGACGATCTGGCAACCAATTCTCGGATCCTCTGGCCATTCCAGCAGCTCCAGCGGCGGCTAGAGATCGAGACCACCACTGCTCCTCCATAATCCCTGCTGCTGCTGCTAGATTCTAGCACTAGGACCTTCCTACAGGTACCTGGCGAGAGATTTCGATGGCTCCTCGCTATCCGATCATGGGTGGGCGCTGGCCGAGCATAGAGCTGATTAGACGAGCGCAAACACGGCATGCCCTGGCTCATCTCAAGCAATGCCGCCTAAGCGAAGAACCCTAGCGATGCCCTACAAGTGAATCTCCAAGATTCCATCCCTGGAAGGAGAATCCATGTCGCGCGGCCCCTCCCCTTATCTCTTCTATCCACACTATTTCTTCCTTGGTTAACAGCCGTTAAATCAGATGCTTGTCATTAATGGGCATTTGGTCTAGTGGTATGATTCTCGCTTCGGGTGCGAGAGGTCCCGAGTTCAATTCTCGGAATGCCCCGTCAACGTTTTGACCAGGGTTGCCTTTTGCGATGCTTCATATTCGTAAAGGCGATATTGTCTATATATACGTATATATTTCTTTTAGGGTTCTTTAAAGGATGAATTGCCAGGACGTGTTGTTAGCAGGCGAGCTGTGCAACGATCATGCTTTCGACGTCTCGGGCTGCTGGACGACGGGCCTTTTCGATGACCAGAGCCTTGCGCCACTGCCTGCATCGGATCAAGATCAACTTGGCGATGGCGAGGTACTCTACGACTTTGGAGTGGGCACCGAGCAGGGCTGTGCCGCGGACCTCCTCCCGGGCGCCCTCGAGTTCCTCCAGACGCAGCAGCCGCAGCCCTACGTCGTCCAGCCTCTCCAGTGGCGTTCCAACTACGTCGACGACCTTCAGTATACGTACACCATGGTAGAACAAGACGGGATAAACCCATACGCGATGACGCAACAGGGGAGCCCAAATCCATGCGCTCCGCAGCCGAGGTGTCCAGCAGCGATGGTGGGAAAAGCCAAGAACTTGGGCCATGCAAAGGTGGCTAGCACTAGTAACGCCGCGGTCTCGGCCCCGGCTAGGAAGCGGGGGCGTCCGAGTGGAGTGGCCGGGTCGGGGTTCAAGCCGGTGCACCGGAACCCTCCCAGTGAGGCGGAGAAGGAGGTGGCGCGCTCCATCCAGCCACCCTGCCCGACGTGTGGCGAGGGTATGAAGTACAACGATTTCAACAACCAATGCATATCGCAGCCGCGGTACCGCTGCAATCCCTGCCAGGGCCCCAAGGTTAGACTCAACGACGAGAAGCTGCTGCGAGAGATGGGTTTCATTCGATGAATCTAGTTTTCCTTAGTTAATTGAAATCTTTTTTCCTAGTTGTAAAAAGTAGCTAATCGAATTTTATTTTTCCTTTTGCAAGTTTTATTTGTATATTTCCTTTCGTTACAGGATTATTCCACATATGCCCATTATAATATTGGCATGGGGGCATGCCACGCTGGATGCCATGTCATCGTGACGTGGGACTTTGTCCTCTTTGCGCTCGATTCGGCCATGGGCACGGTACTTGTTCTTGCGGGCGAGTATGCGAGGTCTTTCTTCTGGATCGGATTTCCCAGCACGGGGTCTCGTCGTGGACATCAATGATTCCAGCATTTGCCCAAAGTGCAAGCCAAGGATATCTTCAGTCATATGCCACGTACATTGTGTGGAATTTGTTAACGTTTTCTCTCACAAGAGAGGAAAATATATTTTGCTACAGAGGAATTTGAGCAAATACCTCAAACGGATCTGGTCTCCTGGACCGCAATTGTTGCTGCAAATGCCCAAAAAAGGGATCTTGGACGCCCGAAAGAGCTGCTTGATTGCATGCCCGAAGCACATTCTCGGCCTGTAAATACTGATCGGTTCATACGTGCAGCACGGAATATTTGCGGAGCAAAATATCTTTTCAGCGCAATGCAAGAAAGAGACACTGTGTCTTAGACCGCTTTGCCCACGTAGGGCATCACGCCACTGTCCAGCTGCTCGACAGGATCAAGCTGGACGAGCTCAAGTTCGTATGCCTGCTCTCGTCGGTGGCCTATACGGGCACCGTGGACGAGGTCCAAGAGTGGTTCATGGCAATGGTGGCGGACAATTTCGTGGAGCCGACGCTGCAGCAGTACTGCTGCCTCATCGCAGCTTTGGCAAGGCCCGGGAGGCTGCGTGACGCAGAGGACCTCATTGTGGATGACACTCTTGCCAGCCTCAAGGAACCTACTTTCTTTGAGAGGAGGTAGAGTGTGACTCTTTCTCTGTTTTATGCCAAGTGTGTCCGAGTAGCAAACAAACTCACGATTCGATCACACCTCCAAAGTTTAGGAACAACGATAAGAGCTTTCAACTTTACAAAGCGCAGACAAGCTTCTTTGTTTTCGAATGTCAAAATGTACTTTTGAGTGTTCAAAGGGAGGCATCAGTGTTTTCTCTTTTTTAAGTCAACTCCTCCTCAAACTCCTGATAATTTGCCTTCTCATCCGCTAGAACCATATTCTAATCGCGAGAATATAATCAAAGCCGATGGTAGCCTCGATTGAAGACTCCCAGTTGAGACTCTTTGACAAAGGAACTACACAAGATGACAAGGAATTCGCAGCATCAGAGGCACAGTAGCGCTACTGGTTGGTTTTGTCTGGTGGTTTGGATTCCACAGAATCGTGAATTGGTGGCCTCTGGTACGCAGATTCTCTTTTTCTTTTTAATTGTCTCTGGTGTTCCACTGGGCTCCTGCTGTGCTTGATCTTGCTTGCATCAGTGATATTTCCACCGTACAGCGAGAATCGGCACATGCATATGTGGTGCTTATATGGATTTTGCATGAAATATTTATATCATTCATATGTGGCATGCCCCGTGCCTTGAAAAGTTTTTTGTGTAGCACTAAAAAGTTCTATAGATCTCTTTTAACTCGGCCTCGCTTCTGATGTCACAAACAACTCAATTATTTTAACACTTGAAATTACATGTGTTATTTATTTATTTATTTATTGCAAATTAAGTAAGGTACATCTACCCTTTGGAGGTGTATCTATGGCAATCAAATGTGATGCGAATGTGATGCGAATGTGATGATACACACCTCTTAAAAAGGTGTGTATTTGAATTATTTAAATATATATGTGTGACTTACAAAATAATTTATAGACATAATTTTTTTTTCAAGACATTGGGCTTACACATAAGTATCATTATGTGCTCACACCCAAAAGCTTAGAAAAAGCTTGTGGAGGGGAACATTCACACCCTTAATCACTACAACTGCAGACTTACACTCTGGTCCAAACCCTAACTCAACCACTTATACTTAATCATAGGATTAAGTGTAGCCTACGAAAAGAAATCCTGGTGGAAAACCACAAGAATCTAATGCCTATGTCACACTTATATGACTGCTTGTAAATCACACACATAACCAAGTGGAGAAGAAACTTTGCAGAATAAGTCTTTGCATCACATCCATACCCACAAATTGCATGCAAAAGGAGTTACTAAAATCTCAATGGCAGTAACATCACATTGTCTAAGATATCTAGTTAACTTTGCTGCTCTCCGTGAGGTTCCACGCCAAGAGCTTCCTCTTGATGCTGGCGAGCTCACACTTGATCTCCGAGAAGGCGGCCTCACCAGCATCAAGAGGAAGCTCTTGGCATGGAACCTCATGGAGAGCAGCACCACCCCTGAGCTACGATTCTGGCTGCCCTCATCCACTCAGGCCCGCATGGCATGCCCCCTGTATATGTAGCATGTCTTACATTTTATTATAACAATCAAAATATAATTGTGTATTATAATATTATATGTAATAAAAAATAAAAAATACTATTCTCACATAACTAGATATTTATATGCCATTACATATTACTTGTCATAGGTACCTGCCTCTCAAATATGCAATAAAAAATTGATTTCTATACTCATAACTTCATAATTAATCTTTGAAAATCAAACGAAATAAAATAATCAAAAATATTTAAATAAACTTTATTTATTATTTTTCCTGTTGTAAATTTATTTGTAGAAATTATTTAATCTTTTTTTACTAACTATGAAACCCACATCTACGTCATCATTCTTCGCCAGGTGGCGCGCCTCACGCCCCAAATTTCCTGCCATTGGAATCTCAGCCGTTGCTTTGGCGGACGGCATCCACGACGCGGAATCGGCCACTCACATTTTATTTCGTTATATAATTTGGGGCAGGGCATCCAGCTGATTGAAAATACCCGAGCTCTTTCAGCTAGAGAGCTCCATCCATGGCGGCCTCCTCTCTTGCCTCGCGCGCTGTGGCGTCTCTCAGCCCATCCATCTCCACCGGCGCCAGCCGCGACGACGCCGGATCTTCCAGTGTGGTAGGCTTTCACAAAAGGAGCAGCGCGTTCACGGGCAGGAGGGTCAGGATTTCGAGCGGCCATGGATCCTCCGCCGCGCACGGCAGGAGAAGCTGCGTTGTCGCCGCCACAGCGGCCCCTGTCAAAGAATCTCCTCCAAAGATCGCTGATGCGGTGAGTCCCTCCCTCTATTTTCACCTTATTCTCGACATAGATCTGGCCATGCAGCAATGCATGGCGATCGGCTATGGATTCCTGACGAAATTCTCGCCTGTCTCCCCAGCTCGTGACGAGGGAGGAGGGATTGGAGCTCTACGAGGACATGATCCTCGGGCGCTGCTTCGAGGATATGTGCGCCCAGATGTACTACCGCTCCAAGATGTTTGGATTCGTCCATCTCTACAACGGGCAGGAGGCCGTGTCCACGGGATTCGTCAAGGCGCTCAAGAAGGACGACTACATTTGCAGCACTTACCGGGATCACGTCCACGCGCTGAGCAAAGGCGTCCCCGCCAGGCAAGTGATGAGCGAGCTCTTCGGCAAAGCCACTGGCTGCTGCCGCGGACAAGGTGGATCCATGCATATGTTCTCCAAGGAGCACAGGCTGCTGGGAGGATTTGCCTTCATCGGAGAGGGAATCCCCGTGGCGACTGGAGCAGCCTTCAACACCAAGTACTCGCGCGAAGTTCTCAAGGATCTCAGCGTGGACGCGGTGACGCTGGCGTTTTTCGGGGATGGAACTTGCAACAATGGCCAGTTCTTCGAGTGCTTGAACATGGCGGCGCTGTGGAAGCTCCCGATTGTCTACGTGGTGGAGAACAACCTCTGGGCGATCGGCATGGATCACTTTAGAGCTACGTCGGTGCCGGAGATCTGGAAGAAAGGAGAGGCTTTTGGCATGCCCGGAGTTCACGTCGACGGAATGGACGTGCTCAAAGTTCGCGAGGTGGCCAAGGAAGCCATTGCGAGGGCCCGGAGAGGTGACGGCCCGACGCTTGTCGAGTGTGAGACTTACCGGTATAGAGGCCATTCTCTCGCCGACCCGGACGAGCTCCGGAAGCCTGGTAAGTTTTGTTATTCTCTTCGTTTTTTGTGGAGTTTCTTCTTTGGTTCTTTCGAGGCTAAGCTTTTGCTCTTTTTTCTTTCTTTCCAGAGCAAAAGAACAAGTATGCTGTTCGCGATCCCATTGCTGCTTTCAAGAAGTACTTGCTGGAGAACGGACTGGCCAGTGAGGCGGACTTGAAAGCCATCGAGAAGAAGATCGACGAGATTGTGGAGGATGCCGTGGAGTTTGCGGACGCGTCGCCTCTTCCGCCTCGCAGCCAGCTCCTCGAGAACGTCTTTGCGGACCCCAGGGGCTTTGGTATCGGGCCAGATGGGAAATACAGGTGCGAGGATCCGGCCTTCACTGCTGGGACAGCGGAAGTATAAAACAAGGCGAGAAAATTTGGGACAACAGAGACAAAAACAACGGGGGGTTTTTTTATTAGCTTACAGTCCATTCCATTCCACGACAGCACAAAGGTATCAAACTACCATTTTAAAACTGTTCGGGAGTTTTGAATCGTCCCATCAAAACTGTCAAATAGAAGAGATATAGCCGATACTTTGCTCCTTTGGTTTGCAATAAAGAACACTTTGATTTTTCTATTCTTCTTTCGTGTCGAGACTGTATGGTCGGTGGGGCAATTCTCTTTGCATGAATTCTCTTCCAAAGTCATGACGGTCGTGGACGACATTTGTCAACTTCGTAGCTCAACCAACTGATTCTGCGTGCCTGACTTTGCTTTCTGTAAAAGTGAAACCAAAATCGTGAAAAGTAGCTGGAACAGCGAAGCTGCACGGCATACGTGACTGCTGCCTCCAAAGATCCAGCCGGCAGCGTTGCGTCGTTCGCGAGAGAGAGAGAGAACACAAGTATAATCTTTACATTCTCAATGAACTTCTCAAAAGGAATGAAATGTAAGGAAAAGCCGACAGTATCACTCCCATAAAAGTAAAGTGCAAAAGAGAAATGCCCTCTGTGAGCTGACGACCCGTCTTAAAGGTTTGATCAGTGAATTCAATCGAAATCACTCCGATACAAAGTTCGTAAAAGCGCAAGATTTAAAGACGCAAACTCGGTTGCACTGTGAAACTCCGCTCCACATAGAAGTCCGCCAGTTCCCAGAGACACTCTCTCCACTGGTTCAACCACCAGCTCAGATTTTTTTTCTTGATTTTCTAACAGACGCCAACAAGGACATCTGGGACGCACTTCGATGAGGGAGGTGGCAGGCCAGGGTCGTGGAGAGGGAGCTCCGTGACATGAAAATCCTAGCTAAGCAGGTACCATTCTTTCGCCTTGGCTCCGACTCGTTCAAGCGGGTGAGCACCTCGTGATCTAGCAGCCAAAGCCTCCGAGTTCATCATCCAGATGGCGATCAAGCCGGCGCCTTTGAATTACCGTCCGGACGCTGCCCGGGGTCTGCCGACTTGTCGAGAGACACCGAAGTCACCCCGATACTGCATTCATCAACGAGATGTGCATGAAGGCTTCCATGGCCTACAGGGATGGCGCGGCGTCGAGGCGTGCAGCGCTCAAGTACTTACTCCAGGACTATCTTCGGATGGAGTTTCTGGTTGATGCCAAGGACATCGTGAGCGAAAGCTGCTGGCTATGGTTGGAGTTTGAAATAAAGAAGGCTTTGGCGGAAGTGCCTACTTGCGGCAGCCACTGCACGTCGGCCTGGTTCATGTACAAAGGATATCTGCGCCAAAAACACCACCAAATGGATCAGTTCCACTGATGCAACCACGGACATATACCGGTCCACTCCTTCAATCCCTCTTTCGAAGTCGACAGCCACGACATGCGTCAAGCCTCTGTCCACGAGCAGATTCTCCAGCCTCAGGTCCCCGTGCACGGCACCGGGGAAATGACCGGATGCTGCAAGCACTTGCGAGCGAGGAGACAGACAGGCTGGAGTTCGGGTGATAGATCGCACAGCGTCCTGGAGATCTTGAACTCCATGAGCTCCATGAGCCACCGCCCGCTCAAAATCTCCGGAGCACAGCCATGCGAGGACCACTCAGCATGAACATTACTCCCGACTAGGCCAGAGCTTGCTTGTGTCCTCGGGCTTTGATCCTCTGGCAGCGAAGCTTTGCCAGCTTTGCTCGATTGCAAGTAGAGCTTTCCAGAGCTAAGCACCTCCACACCAACACCAGCGCAGTGAAGCTCCTGTAACGGATACGGGAGCCTCGCTGCTGCCAAGTCCAGCTCCACCGGTCCATGCCGCCTACGTCCTCCTGCAGAGATGCGAGCCTGTCCAGCGATATGCGAAAGGCCACCACCATCCGGCATAGAGCATCCATCTCCTCGAAGTTGCTTCTACGCACCATCAGGCCCATCTTGAGCGGCTCGATCACTGGACTGGAAGCATACGGCCGCGCCTGAGATCTTCAAGAGCGAACCTGAAACCTCCAGCAGGAAGACGGGGCAGCGCTCGCAGCGAACCATGACGTCTTCGCGCGGTTCGTTCACCTCCTTCACGTAGTACCTGGATCCGCCAACCGCCCTGGCCACTGGAAGTGAGAGCAGGAAACCAATGGACGCTTTCGTTACGCCTCAGCAAGCTTTAGTTCATGCCTTCACTTGCCCAGTCATAGCTCGGTCTTAACAAGTTTGCAAGTTGGCTGTGTAGTTTCATAATACGTCGGCAGGCCGCTTTTTAGGGTTTACAGAAACTCTTTTCCTTTATTGAGCATGAGCAAGGGGACATTGATCGCGTCGCAGGGCGAGTAACTGCTGCCAGTACTTTTTGGCTTAAAAAAATGGAGGGGAGTTTTTTATTCAGTCATGCAAAGCTCAAGCAGGCAACGACTTTCGAGGTACTTCTTTTCTTTGCTTGCTTTGCTCTGCCTTTAGCTTCTTGTCGTCGTTGTTGTTAACTTACGTTGGTCGTGGATTCCTTGTAATGCTACAGCTGTTTTCCAGATTTATTGCTTGCACAGAAGTTTCTCCCTTTAATTTTCTGTTTCTAGTTCCTCGGTGCCGATCATGCTTCTTGTTGAAATGCTTTTCCAATAGTCATTTGTGAAAACTCGGAAGATCCGAGTTTGAGACGATGAGCTGCAAGTTTTCTGTGCCAATGTTGCCTCCTGCTGCTGCGTTGCTCCTTTGGGTCCTCGCGACTAATGTCGTGCTTGCAGCTCCACTTTCTCCAGTTCGCTGCGATGTTGCAACCGGGGCGTGCATGGTTTTCAACGCATATGGAACTTGGCCGGACAGGAGCCTTTGCAAGGTAGGGGAAGTAGCGTTTCCTTCCACGGAGCAGGAGCTGGTTGATATAGTCGCACACGGTGTGAAGAACAGGATGAAGATGAAGGTTGTGAGCAATTCAGCTCACAGCATTCCCAAGTTCGCGTGTCCTGGAGGGACTTCTGGCCTTGTCATCAGCACGGCAAAATACTCCAGCAGAATAGTGGTGAGCGCGAGCTCCATGACTGTCACGGCGGACAGTGGTGTAGAGCTCTCGAGGCTTTTGCAGGAGATTGGAAGCCACGGCCTGGCTCTTCCTTCGTCGCCTTATTGGAACGGGATTTCGCTTGGAGGGCTGTTAAGCACAGGGTCTCATGGAAGCTCCTTGTTCGGGAAAGGAAGTGCCGTTCACGAGTATGTGAAAGCGATGACGATGGTCATTCCAGCGCCAGAGAAGGAAGGTTTTGCGAAAGTTGTCAAGATCACTGAGCAGGACGAAGATTTTATGAATGCTGCCAAGGTCTCACTCGGAGTTCTGGGAGTGATATCGCAGGTGACTTTGGCACTGCAGCCGATATTCAAGAGATCGGTGACGAAGTTTGAGGCCTCCGACGTGAATCTGGAGAAAGAGATTCTAGAGTTTGGGAAGAACCACGAGTTTGGAGACGTCTCTTGGATTCCATCGAAGTACAAACTCATCTACAGAGCAGACGACCGTGTTCCTGCGAGTACCAGCGGAGACGGCGTGAATGATTTCATTGGATTTCAACCGACGCTAGCCACTATAGTTGAAGCTCAAAGAGCTCTCGGTACGTACTGTTTCTGTTTGATAAAACAATAGCGACTCAGTACTCTTTTTCTTACAGAGGAAGCTTTCGAGATATCAGGTGACTCTCCTGGGAAGTGTGCCACTGGATTGGTGCAAACTCAAGCTCTTTTCACTACTGGGGAAGGCTTCAAGAAAAGCTCAGGTGGAGTTTTCACAGGCTACCCGGTCGTTGGTTTCCACCACAAGATCCAATCCTCCGGTGCCTGCCAGGCTTCAACCTCTAGACAACTCGTCTGTCCCTGGGATCCCACCGTGAGAGGCCTGTTCTACCATCAGACCACCGTCTCCATCTCGGTGGACAAGATCCAGGACTTCATCACCGACGTCAAGAAACTCAGAGCTCTAAATCCCGCCGCCCTGTGTGGAGTGGACCTCTACAATGGCTTCCTCATGCGCTACGTCCGAGCCTCGTCCGCATACCTGGGAAAGCAATCCGACGCAGTCGATGTGGACATAACTTACTACCGAGCTCGCAGCGGGAACACTCCCAGGCTGGACGAGGACGTGCTGGAAGAGGTGGAACAGATGGCCTTGTTCAAGTATGGAGGCCTCCCGCACTGGGGGAAGAACAGGAACATCGCGTTTGGGCCTCACACCGCTGCCAAGTATCCCAAGCTGCAAGAGTTCCTGGCGGTGAAGAGCAAGCTTGATCCGGATGGTTTCTTCTCGAGCGAGTGGTCCGACTTTGCGCTTGGAATCTCTGGTGGAAGTAGTAGTAATCTTCCACACTGTGCTCTAGAGGGAGTGTGTGTTTGCTCGCTCGACTCTCACTGCGCTCCCGAGAACTATTACTTTTGCAGGCCGGGGAGAGTTTACACGGATGCTCGCGTCTGCCGGTTTGTACCCCCGGGTCTCAAGAATGGGACCGCATAGAGAATGTTCCTGGAGAATCTTTTCCCCGAATAATCAAGTACGTAAGAATATTCTTGCATTGAAATATATTTCTCGCGCCAAACTAAACCCTAGAACAAAGGTTTGCGAGCAGCGCGTGCCCTCCGCCGCTCGCATCATCCAAGCTCGCCAGCGCCGCCACCGCATCGCCGCTACCCCCGCCGCCCCCAACCCTAGACGCGCCGGCAAGCAAGCTCCTCCACTCGAGCGCGTCCGGCGCGAAGGGCATATGGGCAAGCAGCTCCTCCGCGCACCACAGATGCCCCGATCTCGCGAAGAGATCCACCATACACGACCAATGCTGCTGGACAGGGGCGATCCCAAAATCCGCCGCCATGGACGCGAAGAGCGCGACGCCCAGGCCAACCCTACCCGCGTGGCTGGCGGCGGCGAGCGCCGAGACGAAGCTCGACGCATCGGGGCCGTCGGCCGCGGCGGCGCTGGCGGAGTAGAACACGTGGAGCGCATCGGCGGCGTGGCCGGTGGTGGCGAAGGCGGCCATCATCGCGTTGGCGGTCACGGTGTCGCGGTACGGCATCCTCTCGTACAGGTGGCGCGCTTGGGCCAGGTGGCCATTCCCCGTGTAGGCGGAGAGGATGCCATTCCAGGAGATTAGGTCGCGGTGGGGCGTTTGATCGAAGGCGCGCTTGGCGTGGGCGAGATGCCCGGCCGCGGCAAATGCGGCCACCATCATCGCCCAGGAGATGGGGTTTCGATCGGGGATGCGATCGAAGATGTGCTTGGCGTGCTCGATCCGGCCCAGCCGCGCGTGGGCGAGCAGAATCGCGTTCCAGGGATTAGGGTCGGGGTCGCCGGGGGGAATCGCGCAGGGGAGATCGTCGATGGTGTCGTCCAGGCGCCCGGCGAGCGAGAAGGAGATGAGGTCCCGCTGGGGCATCGCTTCGAACAGGGATTTTGAGCCCAGCGCCGCGAGGATCGTGTTCCAGGAGACGATGTCGCGCTGGGGCATCGCATCGAAGAATCGCTTTGCGTGGAGGAGATCGCCATGGCGGGCGTAGGCGAGGAGCATAGCATTGCAGCAGGCGAGATCGTGGACAGGGATTCGATCGAAGAGCTGCCTGGGCCGATCGAGGTCGCTGCCGTGCTGGGCGAGCGAGAAGAGGAGAAGTGTCCAGCTGATGAGGTCCCGGTGGGGCATTGCATCGAAGATGTGCCCCGCCTCCTCCAGCGGCGCCGCCAGGCTCTTGTTCTTCACTACCGCCGCCAGGAGCGTGTTCCAGCAGTAGAGATTGTGCTCCGGCATCGCCTCGTTCACGATTCTCCTTGCCTCCCACGGATCTCCATACTGCGCGATCGCTCCCACCATTGCTGCGCACGACACCAGATCGATCTCGGGCATCTCATCGAAGACTTGCCTCGCGCGGTGGAGATCGCCTTCCTGACCATACGCCGCCAGCATCGAGGTCCAAGAGATCAAGCTCCTCTCCGGCATCCAGCGGAAAACCTTCTCGCATTCCTCCACGCTCGCGATCCGTGCGAGCATTGCCAGCATGGAGTTCATTGACACCAGGTCGTGGGCTCCCATCGATTGAAAGATTCTCCTAGCAACGTCTGGATCCCCCTTCTGGGCATATGCGTTGAGCATCGCGTTGCATGAATGGAGCGTGTATAGAGGGATCTCGCCAAAGAATCTCAGCGCATCCTCTGGATTCACCTCTCGTGTATAGCCGCACAGCATCGTGTTCCACGACACTAGATCTCGGTGTGGCAAGAGCTCATCGAAGATTCGTTTCGCATCTGGGATATGCCCATTTCGAGCATATACCAGGAGCATGGCGTTTAGAGACACAAGAGTGTGTTGTGGGATCTCTTCATACAAGGCTCTAGCATCGCTCACGCTTCCATCTTGGGAATATGCTTCTAGCATTGCGGTTGACGATACCAAGTCTTTGAAGGGCATCTTATAAAAGACTGACTTGGCGTCGACAAGATACCCGCATTGGGCATATGCTTTGAGCATTGCTGTGCATGAAACGATATCCTTTTGGGGCATTTGATCGAAAAGAGCCTTTGCTCTGTCTATATGCCCGAGCTGGGCATAGCAGTGGAGCATGGAGGTCCACGAGATCAAAGTTCTCTGTGGCATGGCGTGGAAGATCTCTTCGGCCGCCTGGAGATTGATGTTCCCCCTGCGAATGTAGGCTGCGAGCATGAAATCCCAGGTGTGTGCGTTCTTGAGGGCCATGCCATCGAAGAGCTCTCGAGCTCCCTCGGCGCTCCCGCATCTCGCGAGCGTTTCAATGAGCCGGTTTGAGACGAGGAGATCGTTGCAGAGATTTAGATGCTGGCATTTGAGCTGGAGTCTTTTGGCGTCCGAGAGACTGCGGCAGGATTTGAGGAGCTGGAGGAGCTCGCTGCGCTCCATCAACTTTGACGCCTGCCATGAATGATCTTCATGGGATTTTGCAATGCAAGCCATAAAGGCATGCAGGACACTTGAGGAAGTCCGACAAGTTCATCGTCAACTTCATAGCGATGAACACAGCGTTTATGTTGCGAACTTGCTGATCAAGATGTACGGCCGGTATGGGAGCACCCAACTTGCTCGCGAGGTCTTCGACTCGATTCCTGACAAGGATGGCTTCTCCTGGAACCTCATGCTTGTGGCTTATGCCCAAAACCGGCAGCTTGACAAAGCGAGGAAAATCTTCTGTGAGATGCCAAGCCGGGATCAATTTTCCTGGACCACCATGCTGGTTGCTTACTCCAAGGACGAGAATATTGTAGAGGCACGAAGAATCTTTGAAAGCATGCCAAGCAAGGACGTGGTATCGTGGAATGCCATGTTGGTGGCTTATACCCAAGCTCGGCATCTTGACATGGCACAGGCCTTGTTTGACGCAATGCCTGAGTGGGATGCAACAACTTGGAACACCATGCTGACTGGATATTCCCTGCAAGGGAATCTGGTCAGAGCGGAGACAATATTCCAAGAGATGCCGGAGAAGGTCCTGGTATCGTGGACTGCTATGCTGACTGCATATGCCCAACACGGGCAGATTGGAAAATCAAAGGCATTGTTTGAAGAAATGCCTGCACGAAATCTTGTGACATGTAATGCCATGCTTGCATCGCTTTCAGAGGTGGTGGAAGCCAAGAAGCTTTTCGATAGCATGCAGGAGAGAGATCTTATGACATGGAACACATTACTTTCGGCATATGCCATGTCTGGGCATCTAGTTGATGCTCTAGAAATTTTTGATGCTATGCCTGGTCATAGCGTTGTTTCATATAATGCTTTAGTGAGTGCCTACGCAGAAAACAACCGCACGAAAGAAGCATATTCGATGTTCAGTACGATGCCCGCTTGGGACATGCTAACTTGGACGGCGATCCTCGTCGCAAATGCACAGAAAGGGGAAGTGGCAATAGCCGAGTGGCTGTTCACCTTTGCGCCATCAAGAGATCTCGTGATATGGAATGCCCTTCTAGCAGTATACTGCCAGCGTGGGCTGCTAGAAAAGGCGAAATCCAGTTTCGACAAGATGCCACAGCAAGACATCTACTCATGGAACTCTATGATCTCGGCATATGCCCAGAATGGACAAATGTTCGAAGCAATGCTTCTTTTCAAATCGATTCCAAGAGCCAATGTGGTAACCTCAAACACAATTCTCTCCATTCACGCACAAATCGGGAGCGTTGAAGAATCGAAGGCCGTGTTTGAGGCAATGCCGGAGTGGAATCTTGTGTCTCTAAACTCGATGATGTCCGGTTACGCCAGGAATGGCTCTTGGATCACCGAGGCCAAGGGACTGTTCGACTCAATGCAAGAGCACAGCCTCGTTACCTGGAACTCGATGCTAATGGTCTATGCCGTGAATGGTCTGGCCAGCGAAGCCAAGTTTCTGTTTGAGAAAATGATGCCGGACAGAGACATGATTTCCTGGACCTCGATGCTCACTGCGTTTTCCAACAGCGGTAAGATCGATCACGCCTTATGGTTTTTCGAAAACATGCCCAGGAGAGATCTTGTCGCGTGGAACGCAATGGTAGCGACCTATGCCCAACACGGTCATATCGACCAGGCCAAGAGCTTGTTCTTCGCAATGCCTGAGCACGACACGGAGTCCTGGGCGGCGCTTCTAACCGGGCTCGCGCAGCACGGCATCCTCGAGGAAGCCCAGAAGCTCTTCCACGACATGCCCGCTCGAACGCCTGGCTCATGGACGGCGCTCCTCGTTGCAAATGCCCGTGCCAATGACGAAAACGGTGGCTCTTGCCCAGAGAGAACCAAAGCGTTCTTCGATTGCATGCCTGACTGGAGCTTGGTGTCGTGGACGGCCATGCTTGGGATGTATGCTCTCAAGGGAGACATGGAGCTGATGGCGGAGATGTTTGGGGCTCTAAACCTGCAAGGCGCGATCGCCCACGGGACCTCCGACAGCGTCGCCTTTGTGAGCCTCCTGGTGGGATTCAGCCATCGTGGGGACGTGTACCGGAGCTGGAAGTGCTTCCGCTCGATGGTGTCCGACTTTGGATTGAGCCCCGGGAAGCAGCACTTTAGTTGCATGGTGGATGCACTGGGACGAGCTGGGTATCTGTGGGAGGCGCAAGAGCTCATAGCTTGCATGCCCGTGTTGCCGGATCCCCAGGACTGGACGAGCTTGCTGGCCGCTTGCAAGACTCATGGCGACTGCGAGGTTGGGACCTGGGCCGCCGAGGAAGCGCTCAAGGCAGAGTCTGGAAGCCATGGTGCTTCCTACGTGCTGCTCGCAAACTTGTTTAAGAGATCCATCAACAGACAGTGATAGAATGATTTCATTCCAAGATCTTATAGTTCCTGGAGATCCTTGTCAAGGATGTACTCCCACACTGTCCACCGCCTCGGCTCGAGACATCGTCGTTCTATCAGTGCCGAGGAAGGATTGGAAAGCCTCGGAGATTGGATCTGGAGTGAGGAAATTGGAAAGCCTTGGACGATCATCAGATCGATCGAGTTTCTTCTTCTTGGGCATGTCAATGTCCTCGTAGCCTACAAGCAAGCACACGCTAAGATCGAAGAAACAAAACAATCAAGAGAAACTCACCTCTTCTAGCGGTAGCAAGTGATCTTGGAGAACTTTGTTAATGGTAAACATGTTGATCGAATCCACCTTGAAAACGTCGAAGATCTTGTTTCCGGTGCAGAGGATCATCTTCGATCTTGGAGATTGTTGTCTCGGATGTAGCGCCACAAGCATTGCACAGCCTAATCCTCGAAAAGAAGAACAAGGAAAAGAATTTCTAGCTTAACATTCAACTAGAGCTTACTTCGTGTCTCCTGAGAATGTGATGCCCAGTGACCGCTCGAAGCTCCGGAGAGAGGCGAAAGGCCTTCAGGAAGCTATTGTTTCCAGGCGCCCCAGCTCTATCCGTCCCAGCAAGAGATCAATCGCAGATTCAGTGATCCGCCTACATATTGACCTGTCGCCAAAGGCACAGATATCACCCTTGACGAGCTACACAATCTTGGCAGGGCAGGGTTTGTGTTACAAGTTTTGAACGGACGACAACCTCAGGAGGATCTCAATCTCGATAACAAAGGAAGTCTTTACAAGGTAACAATTGGAATAGAACTTATATGTGTGAGTGGATTGGCAAACATCCCATCTACTTGTACTCAATTGATACAAAATGGACACCACATACATCAAGATTGTGCTGGTAATATTGTCAAACAAACAAGCACAAGACATCATCAATCTGCAAAATGAATGATATTTAGTGTTCAAAAGTTGAGTCAAAATCTTTATATAAACCTCAAACCAGAGTAACCAAAGTAGTATTTTAATATACACTTGATCAAACCAATGTATTTTTCCTCCAAATATAATTTATAGCTGATTCATAGGAGTAGTGCCTCTGATATATCTTTGTTGCGTGCATTATATAAACTTGTTTTTTTTTTATATCCCTACCCAACTAACCAGCTGACATATTTCATCTTTGAAAAATTATTGTTCACTAAACCTTGAAGACAAGATTACCCTATCTAACCATTCTTGCATGCAATCCACAATAAAAGGTATTTTTTGTCATCTTTGATCATTTCATGCCACCATTCTTTTGAAGCATGTCTTCACTTCTTTCTCTAATTTGGATTGTTGTTGTTCTTATCATCTAAATTATACTTGGCAGATAATGTTAAATCTTGGTGAAGAATAACAAAGGCCAACAAAGGACCAGTGGCCATTTAGCACAATAAACATTATTAGTCATAGGTTTGAGTAAGAGGACAAAATGTTATTTATTTCTACTTATACCAACTTTTAATCATAACTCTATAGAAAGCATGGTGGATGTGATCATTAAGAGAGAATGAAATGCTTATCTTGAGAACTCATCACAGATCGAGGAACACATTTTATTAATGAAACCATCAAAATTTTGACTTGAGAATTCATGATTAAGCACAAGGCTTCAACATTATATTACTCTCAAAGCAATAGTCAAATAGAGTTCACAAATAAGACAACCAAGAACATCCTTAAGAAAATCTTAAAAACAAATTAAAAAGATTGGGATGATTGCATCCATGATCCTTTATGGGCATATTGAATTACATACAAGATTTCAACAAATTTGACACCATTCAAACTTATTTATTGATTAAAAGCCTTAACACCACTTAAGTACAATATTCCTTCACTGTAAATGGCAGTACATTATGAGATCAACCAAGAAGAATCAATCAAAAGAAGACTAACAACAGTAAAAACACTTGACAAAGAAATACTACAAACAATTTAAACACTTAAAGCTATTTAAGCTCAAAGAAAAGCTAATGACAGAAAGAGAAGACTAAAGAAAAGTGAAGAATTCAAGATCAATGATCAAATACTTTAATTTCGAGGAAATATTGAGAAAATTGACTTCAAAGTGAAGTCAAGATGAGAAGGACCATTCTTCATCCAAGAATTGAAAAACTTCGAGAATGGCAACAATCGCAACACTGGATGGCAAACATTTCTAAACCATCAACCTCAACAAGCTCAAGAAATACTAATTGTACAACTCAAATGTCATTAACAACAACTTTGAAAGGAATGAAGATTTCAACTTTGAAGTTCATGAATGAAACATCAAGAGCATGAAGATCAAAAAATCAAAACTATGAAAACTTAAACTCAAGAATTCAACACATTCAAGGTTTACAAAGTTTAAGCTCAAGAACTCAACACAATCAAGAAACATAAAACTTAAGTTCAAAAATTAAACAAAAAAAGATTTTAAAAAATCAAGCTCAAGAAAGTAACATGAAGAAAAACAATAATTTAAAAAACTTCAACCAAAAACAAGACTTAGAGATCAATAAATCTCTCAAGACTTATCAACAAACATGCCAAAGACCAACATGAAGGATTTGAACTCAATGCTCTAATCTCCAAGCACTGAGATCAAGCAATGGGGAAGCAACGTAAAATTACAATATACCCTCTCACAAAGGAGCTCATCTTCAAACCAACAATGGTGAGTCCAAAGAGCATAAATCTTCTCTTCACCTATAATCCAACATGGAAGAGGACAAGGGCACTTGATGATTGGCTACTTGAGGTCAGACTCTACAAGTTCTTTTGCATCATGGAAAAAGAGTACAAGATTGACATCATGAAGAAAATGCTCCTAGCTTTTCAAGAAGAAATGGTGTGTGCCCAAGAACACAAATATATCTTTACCAAGGACTACATTACATGGGTATTCAAGCTTTCAATTGGCAAAAAGTAAGGCACAAATAAAAAGGATGCCGCCAAGATGTATCAAGATCTTCAAGAATTACAATTTCGGAAGCTCACTTCAAATGAATAATATCACTGACTAAGTGAAGCCAAGGCTCAAGTTCTCATCTCAACTCTTGAAATGCACAAGTTGAGTAGCTCCATCAACAACTCAATAAGTTCAAGGTTAAACTTGTAGGAAATCCAGCATTAACAAAGCTAATTGACACAATGGAGCAATAGAAGCCTCGATATAAAGTTCCATTTAGTCATGGGAGAGTAAAACACAATAAATTAACCATGCATTTAAGCATTTTCTTAATAGTTAGGATTATAACCTTGACACTCAAAATTACCATTTTGATAGTCAAGACTCAGGAAGAAGTCCATGTAAGAGTAGTTAAGGGGGAAAGTTAACACTCAACCTCTATCCCTATCTCTATTATACTCCAACTTATTACCAATGCACATCCATTTACTCAAGATTTAGAATATTTTAGTGATGTCAAGTTTATCTTTACTCATAACCACTTGCATGAACCTTTTTTGGGGCACAAATTAGTTTCTAATTAATTAATGTGTTTGTTAGCATATTCCAAGGTGAGAAATATAATGCCAACACAAGATCAATGACATCAAAAGCCCTCTTGTTTTCTGTAACCACAACAACAAACTATCATAACTAGTTTTTTACCAAATTCTCTCTCACAAATTCCACCAAAAGGTCTTCTAATTTTCAACATAGCGTTCCTGGTAAGAACTTGTACTTTCTGACTAGTTTAAATGACTGCAGGTGCCTTTGTATGAGAGGCCCAATAAGAATACCCAGCTGGCTGGTAGTGATGACTTTGAACTGGATCCAACAAGGTGCAGAGGCCATAAAAGATTTCTATCAAGAGCACGTTAAGGAACCTACTCGTGATTAATATCAGACACTCCTAATTAGTAATGTTTTCAGCTCTTGTCTATCAGGGATGACCTCTTCAAGACATTTCGAAAGCGTCTCAAAGGATCAGCAGAAGTAGGAGACGTTCGATTAACTGCAAAATCTTTGAGCAGGTTCCTTGAAGTTCCTTTTCCACTATTTGTGTTTTTCTTTATCTGTTCTCATATCTCTTCAGGATGTTGAAGGCATTTCCTGAGCAAACAAGTGGCAGTTGTCTTCCTAGCGATGGAACAGAGCACAAATGATGGAGATAATGATGAGCAGGTTTGGTTTAAAGTTGTGGCTGCTTCTTCACTATTCTCTGTTTGCAGATGCGAGGAGTTGACACATCCACTTTAAAGTCTTCTTGTTGGAGAACTTGCGAGGGCTGAAGCTAAAACTTGACATTGAAACATGCGTAAGCTTTTGCAGTTGATAAAGAAGATTACTTTTGCCTTTTGTGTTCCGCATGCTGGAATTAAATCAATTACTGCGAGCCAACTAGCTTAACTTTGCCATTTTGCCACGCCGAAGAGATATCGAGCTTGCGATGCTCACTTGACTACACGTCCCGGCACGTAAAGGCTGTTCCAGCTCCGAAAGTTACAACACCAGTGATTTACTTCACCGACTTGACTGACTAGGTACCACGGAGAGAAAGATTGGCTTCCGTGGAAGATGGACAAGTTCCTCTCGTGGCCGAGGACAGTGCCAGTCCCAAGTCGCAGTAGCAGATCAGGCTCCAGAGCACCTTCTCCAAAGCCAACCAAAAGGCTTGAAAGTGCAGCTTGCGTGCTTCACAGAAACATATTCCGTTAGAAAAGCTACCAAAACTAGACGACCTCATAGTGCCGGGGTAAAACTTGAGGTACTCGAGCCCGGATCCTGAAAATAAGAGTCCACATACGAGAGTTAGATCCGGGCCTGGAAACACTGATCGATGGCTGGCACCCAGGAGGGACAAGTATCTCACCACTCGGTTGGATCCCTTGGGCTGGAGATGCCGGCTGAAGGCCGTGGCGTATTCGACCACGATGACCCGGCCGAGCGCTTGCATTACCTGCCTGGGCGCTGCCTTCTCATTCTTACGTAAACCCTAGTAGCACGAAACAAGAAAGGCTCGGCCTTTCCTCTTCCTAGAGCATTTGCTCGTGAAACGCGCGTTGAACAAGGTAGAGGTCGATGTGATACACGGCTTGAGCTTGGGGAGGGACAGGTTGATTGCCAAAGATCCAATTTGCGGGAATACGTACTTGATACGGTGGCATTCCTTGAGCTGTGCAGGGCTGATCTCCAGCATCAAAGCCCACGATCCTCTGCGTATCAAATTGGTGCTCCCACATCGAATCCAGGGAAGAACGGAGCAGCAAGTAGTAGTCTGGTCCAAAGGAATAGCAGGCCCGGCGCACGATAGCAGCATTGGGGTGAGCGCATGAGTACACGCAACACACCATGCGATCCGGGCCATTACCCCAGAACTTCAGCGCGATCACAAACCGGCATGATGGCAACGCGAAATACTCCTCGCATTTGCAGAAAACAAGCGCGATCACAAATGGCACAACGGCAACTTGAAATCTTCTGCACCTGCGGAGAACGCCCTGAAGCGACTGACTTGTGGCAACTTCCACAAAGCCAGATGGTGCATCAACAGTACCATCTGGCTGCTGCGTGCGGATCGTGACGTCGGGCTCCCTCCTCACGTTTGGTGCAATGTTGATGGTATCCCCTCCATGAGCTCGTATGCGTGCTGCTCCGTGAGTCAGGCATCCTATCACTGCTTGCGCTATCAGCTGGTGGTCTAGATAAGGCATCAGAAAGAGAAAGGGCAAGGAGAATGCAGAGATACGCGACGATCAAGAAGACACACTAGCTTCCATAGCTGGAGCGTGAAGGAAGCGAGCCCCAATTACATTCTGCCATCTGTAAAGTACCGTGAAAGACCAAGTCAAGAAGGGTCAAAACTTTTTCCCGCCACGATCGCTAGGGCTAAGAGATTGTAGATTCGCTGCTGCTGCATTTTTTGTCCAACGCAGTAAGTAAAGATCTCTGTTAGAACTGGAGAAAGTGAGCGATACTTAGTTTCTTCGCGATTGCTGAGAGAACATCTGAGAATTCGATTCATGGTCTTCGCCTTTGAAGGATCTGCAATGATTAAGCTCAGTGATTTCACAATTCCGACTACACTTCGAGGTTCTTGAAAGGTGCGGCACTTCATCACAACAGTTACCAGGGCTGGGGTCGTTCTTCCATCAAACAGAGCAAGCAAGGAGCGATTCGCAATGGCAAGGAGCGAGCAAATGGAAGCGTACAGTCAGTTCTGGAGCCTCACACTGGGATTTGCAGCGCACAGTGAAGCTCGACATCGTCAACAGATATCCTGTCCAAGTTCTTCTCCAGAAGCCCAAGGTCTCCTCCCCCGACAGTGGCAAGCTTAATCTGATAACTCGGGATGCCAATTCTGTCACACATCTCTCCACCAAGTGCCACACCAGTCACTGGGATCTCCCGCTCCGCCAAGAAAGCCAGAGTCTCCGGCACCTCCTCTCCAAAAGACACAGCGTTAGCACTCGTAGCCACGGCACCACCATCACCGCCACCACCGCCGACGATCTCGTACACCACGGCCGCAGATGTATGAGCTCGGGACAAACGAGATAATGTCGGCTGCGAGATTGCCGAGAACGATATATATCCATTCAAGAAAACATTCAAGATATCTACTGTGTGATTTAGATATCTCAATTTCATTTCAAGGAAAGCTAGCAAGCCAAACCAAAACTAGACGAAGAACCAGTTTCACAGACAACGGCATCCGTATGCAGCCTGGATAATGTAGAGATCCAATATCAGGTTGTCTCCCTTGTCCCGGATCTCTGGAAGCCCAAGGTCTCCTCCCTCAAGAACTTTCGCAGCGGCAAGTTTAATCTGGTAACTCGGGATGCCAATTCTGTCACACCTCTCTCCACCGAGTCCCACACCAGTCACTGGGATCTCCCGCTCCGCCAGGAAAGCCAGAGTCTCCGGGAACAGCGCCTCATCTCCAAAGGACACAGCGCTAGCACTTGTAACCATGGCACCACCCTCGCCGCCACCACTGCCGACGATCTCGTAGACCACGGCCACCATCCGGTTGCCCGGCCCGGGGTAGAACTTCAGCACCAAGAGGTACTGGAGCTTTGAGCCCGGCTCCTGAATGTAAGAGTCCACATACGAGAGAAGCTCCGGCAAGGTCTGGTACTCTCCGACGCTCACAAAGATCCGGGGCGGCCATGGAATCACAGATCGATGGCTGGCACCCAGGGACAAGTATCTCACCACTCGGTTGGATCCCTTGGGCTGGAATGGCCAGGGGATGCCAACGGCCGGCTGGAGCGCAATGCTAACCTGTGACATGACTATGGCGTACCTCAGATTGGTGTACCCAGCGTCCACCACGATGACCCGGCCGTGGCGGAAGATACACTTGGAGAAGAGCTTGCATACTTGCATCCGAACATTCGAACGCAACCGGATTCGAACGGGTATCGAACGTTTAATACCCGTTTAGCTTTTTTTTGAACGGGTATAATGGTTTTCAGTTTTTTTCGAACCCTGATTTTACGGTTTTTTTCGAACATGAACCCTAATCCTAAGTAAAAGAAAGCATATTCTTTAGGGTTTTTAAAAATATTCTTGGTGTTTAAACGCCGTTTTAAACGCCGTATTATACGCGCGTTTTAAACGGCGTTTTTTATTAATCGTACCCGTTCGAATGCAAGTATGAGAGCTTGTAGCGCTCGCAATACCTGTCAAATTTGTCCATGCTCCAGTTGGTGCCGAGTGTAAGCTCTGGGCGCTTGTTGAAGGCCTCCCAGTCGAGATCGTCGCGGTACTGCGCCTTGTACTCGAGTGCCGCCACTGCCCGCATTAGCTTGTCCATGAAAGTCATCTTTGCTATAAACCCTAAACACGGACTAGGGTTTATAACGCATTCTTGAGAGCGGCAACGCGATCCAGGCCAGATGCGGGCTGTCGCCGGGCGCTGATCAGAGGATGAGAATTCGATTCATGGTTTCGAGAGAGGTCCTCACGCTGAGATTTCGTGAACCAAGAGACTATGCTACAAATGTTTGAGGTTCTTGGAAGGTGCGACCGCAGCTCCGCGACAAGTTCCTGCTGTTCAAAAGAAGAGATCATGTCGACACTGCATCACCTATAAGAAACGAGGGTGGGGTCGTTCTTCCATCAGACAGAGCAACCAAGCAGCGATTCGCAATGGCGAGGAGCGAGCAAATGGAAGCATATAGTCAGTTCTGGAGCCTCACACTGGGATTTGCAGCGCCCTTCGCTCGCAAGGCCGCAGTCAAGCTCGACATCTTCAACATCGTGTCCAAGTTCTCGTCGGAGCAAGGAGCCACTCTGGACGAGACCATCCAGGAGCTACGGATCAAGCACGATGCAGATAGCATCCAGGCCGAGAGGCTGTTCCGACTCCTCAGGTTTCTCGCTCAAGTTTCACCTCGGCACTACGAGGTCGTCTAGTTTTGGTAGCTTTTCTAACAGAATATGTTTCTGTGAAGCACGCAAGCTGCACTCTCAAGCCTTTTGGTTGGCTTTGGAGAAGGTGCTCTGGAGCCTGATCTGCTACTGCGACTTGGGACTGGCACTGTCCTCGGCCACGAGAGGAACTTGTCCATCTTCCACTGAAGCCAATCTTGCTCTCCGTGGTACCTAGTCAGTCACGTCGGTGAAGTAAATTACTGGTGTTGTAACTTTCGGAGCTGGAACGGCCTTGACGTGCCGGGACGTGTAGTCAAGTGAGCATCGCAAGCTCGATATCTCTTCGGTAGTGAACCTCGTGGCAAAATGGCAAAGTTAATCTCGTTGGCTCGCAGTAATTGATTTAATTCCAGCGTTGCACTGCGGAACACAAAAGGCAAACGTAATCTTCTTTATCAACTGCAAAAGCTTACGCACGTTTCAATGTCAAGTTTTAGCTTCAGCCCTCGCAAGTTCTCCAACAACAAGACTTTAAAGTGGATGTGTCAACTCCTCGTATCTGCAAACAGAGAACAGTGAAGAAGCAGCCACAACTTTAAACCAGACCTGCTCATCATTATCTCCATCATTTGCGCTCTGTTCCATCGCTAGGAAGAGGACTACCACTTGTTTGCTCAGGAAATGCCTTCAACATCCTGAAGAGACGTGAGAACAGATAAAGAAAAACACAAATAGTGGAAAAAGTAACTTCAAGGAACCTGCTCAAAGATTCTGCAGTTAATCGAACGTCTCCTACTTCAGCTGATCCTTGGAGATGCTTTTGAAATGTCTTGACGAGGTCATCCCTGATAGACAAGAGCTGAAAACGTTAGTGTCTGATATTAATCACGAGCAAAATTTACCACTTCCTCAACGTGCTCTTGGTAGAAATCTTTTATGGCCTCTGCACCTTGTTGGATCCAGTTCAAAGTCGTCACTACCAGCTAGCTGGGTATTCTTATTGGGCCTCTCATACAAAGGCAACTGCAATCACTTAAGCTAGTCAGGAAGTACAAGTTCTTACATGCACTCATTTGATGTTGCTGAGATTTGCACCTAAGCACCAAACGACCCATCTCAATTTCTTCGTCCATCCAATCTCGTTTGGACATGATTTCTTTCGGTACTTAAGCGACATACAGCCGGGCCTTCACGTCATAGTAAACATTCTATACACGAAAAACTAATTAAACCATGGATTGATTAGCACGACTCTACTTACAGGAGGTAAAGCGTAATTTCTTTCGAGTTGCATCGTAGACACTTGTCGAAGCAGCACACAGAACTTGCCTTCCTACTCCTAGGTACACCTGATCAGAAATGCAGGAAACATGAAAGAGAACTTTTCTTGACAGAGTGCAATACCTGAGTCAGCAGTACTGCAAGCTGCTCCTGAATGATTCTAAGCATCGTTATGCTCTCGGTAATTCGACACGACGCATCATACACCAGCTTTTGAGTCGCAGAGCTTTCGGAGATTAAGGCACGAATCATGCAGGCCAAGCC